GTTGGAAGGTGAACCTTTGCCCCAGTCTGAGGTCCTGAGCGCTCTGGAGCAGGTTTTCATCAAGGATGTCTACTTTGCGCTGTTCATCTTTCCCTCGATCCTGACTAGTCTCCCAGTCCTTGCCGCTGAAAAACATCCCCACAGCAAGATGCTGCCACTGCCATGCTTCACCGTAGGCATGGTGCCAGGTTTCCTCCAGATGTGACACTTGGCATTCAGGCCAGAGTTCAAACTTGGTTTCATCAGACCAGAGAATCTTGTTTCTCATAGTCGGAGTCTTTAGGTGCCTTTTGGCAAACTCCAAGCGGGCTGTCATGTGCCTTTTACTGAGGAGTGGCTTCTGTCTGGCCACTCTACCATAAATGCCTGATTGGTGGAGTGCTGCAGAGATGGTTGTCCTTCTGGAAGGTTCTCCCATCTCCACAGAGGAACTCTAGAGCTCTGTCAGAGTGATCATCGGGTTCTTGGTCACCTCCTTGACCAAGGCCCTTCTCCCCCGATTGCTCAGTTTGGCCAGTCGGCCAGCTCTAGGAAGAGTCTTGGTGGTTCCAAACTTCTTCCATTTAAGAGTGATGGAGGCCACTGTGTTCTTGGGGACCTACAATGCTGCAGAAATGTTGTGGTACCCTTCCCCAGATCTGTGCCTCGGCACAATCCTGTCTCGGAGCTCTACGGACAATTCCTTCGACCTCATGGTTTGGTTTTTGCTCTGACATGCACTGTCAACTGTGGGACCTTATATAGACAAGTGTGTGCCTTTCCAAATCATGTCCAATCAATTGAATTTACCACATGTAGACTCCAATCAAGTTGTAGAAACATCTCAAGGATGATCAATGGAAACCGGATGCACCTGAGCTCAATTTCGAGTCTCATAGCAAAGAGTCTGAATACTTATGTAAATAAGATATATATTGTGTTTTGTTTTATAAATGTGCAGACATTTCTTTTCGCTTCGTCATTATGAGGTATTGTTTGTAGATTGCTGAGGATTTTTATTTATTTAATCAATTTTAGAATAAGGCTGTAACATAACAAAATGTGGAAAAAGTCAAGGGGTCTGAATACTTTTCGAAAGCACTGTACATACACTCAGGGCCAGTTAATTAGGTACACCGATCTAGTAACTGGTCAGACCCCACTGTAGCCATGAAGGTTCGCACCTGGTCAGCAACAATGTTCAGATATACTGTGGCAGTCAAACGTTGCTGAATTGGTATCAAACGACCCAACTTTCACCAGGAAAACGTTACCCACACTTTTACACCACAACAACCAGCCTGTACCGTTGACACCAGGCAGGATGGGGCCATGGACTCTGCCATCAGTATGACGCAATAGGAACCGGAATTCACCAGGCAATGTTTTTCCGCTCCTCTATTGGCCAGTGTTGGTGAGCGCCCACTGGAGCCGCTTCTTTTTTTCTCTTTTTAGCTGGTAGGAGTGGACCCTGGTGTGGTCATCTGCTGCAATAGCCCATCCATGACAATGACCGATGAGTTGTGCGTTCCGAGATGCTGTTCTGCACACCGTTGTACAAACCGCTATTTGCCCGTTTGTGGCACGCTTGTTAGTGTGCACGATCCTTGTCATTCTCCTTCGACCGCTCTCGTCAACAAACTGTTTTCGCACACAGGAACGCCGCTGACTGGATGTTTTTTGTCTGTCGCACCATTCTTGGTAAACCCTAGACACTGTCGTGCGTGAAAAGCCCTGGAGGCCGTCCGTTTCTGAGATACTGGAACCAGCGTGCCTGGCACCAATGATCACACCACGCTCAAAGTTGCTTAGGTCACTCATTTTGCCCATTTTAATATACAATCGAACTGTAACTGAATGCCTCGATGCCTCTCTGCCTGCTTTATATAGCAAGCCACGGCCACGTGACTGTCTGTAGGAGCGAACAATTTTCATGAACGGGGTGGTGTACCTAATAAACTGAGTATATAGTGCAGTGTTCAGGCCAATAAAATTAATATTTATAGATCATTGCGATGGTAAAAAAATGCAGTTTTTTCAACAACGACCTGAACCAGTATTTTATTGCAGACAGAGAAATAGTATGTAGCCTATTATTTTATTCCTTGTGTTGATATCATACTCAAACCAAAATGAGCACGGAGGACATCATTGTTACGTTTTGGTGAGTGAAAAATCTCATGAAAAATCTGAATCATTCTCTTTACATCCTATCATGTTCTTAATGTACTGGTTCATTCGTGTATTGCTATATAAACATGTGTATTCCTCTTTACATTATGCAAAGGATACATCCTCCGTAGGCAAATTAAATTGGGCACCAAATGGAACAAAACATACTGAAACAGAGGGGGACTTTTCATATTAAAAAACGGTTTCCAGTGTGTGCCACAATGAACACAGCCAATGAAATAGCACATAAAGGGTGTGAATGTTCTCTTTTTACTTCAGTGGTATTATACCACACCCCATCTTCCTTAAAGTACTGTAATAATATTTTACCTTGGCACACAGCGTTTTCCGTTGCCACCTTACACTCAAATATGAAGATCTGGGGCCAAATGTATCAAGTGTGTTAGAGTAGGAGAGCTGATCTAGGATCAGGTCCCTCCTGTTCATTTAGTCTTATTCATTATGTTCTAAAACTCGAAACTGATCCTAGATCAGCACTACTACTCTGAAAGAATGATACATACAGCCCCTGAGAGTGGAACCATGTACATAACAAAGTCAAGTCAGAAAAAGTCTTCTATTGAGTCTTCTTCTATTGAGTCTTCACATGACACAAAGGGTAACTGGGTCTAAAATGATAACAAAAACATTACACAGTCACCGGAGCTTATGAGAGCCGCCATCTCTGTTCCTGTCGCAGTTAAACGTCTGTTTGACTTATCAAACCAAAATAAAATAAAATTAACAAATGGTGCCACAAACGTACTACCAATTAATAGTAGATGATGGAACCCGAAAATGTACCTACAATAAGATAATCAATTGTCAATGTAGACAGACTACAAACAAACACAGAACTGTACAATTCTTAAGTTATGGTACTCTTTACAGTAATATATTGTGCAGAGTGCAGTGGACCAAAACATATACATTTCTTCTCTGTTTGCTGTAAAAAATAAAATAAAAAATGCCACAAAGGGTTAAAAGGTACACTCAGCAAGATGACATCATCATACAAAATGGGGCAACTTCCTACTTACAAACAACATAAAGAGAATTCAAAATCTGCCAAGACTGACATTATTGGCTATTCCCAATGTGGGTGTACAACAAGGGAGGATGTAAATTGTTACATTGGTTTAATAATGGTAATCTTGGCAGATTGGACATTTTTTTTTTTTTTTGAGTCATTTAGCAGACGCTCTTATCCAGAGCGACTTACAGGAGCAATTAGGGTTAAGTGGAAGAGGGCTCAAGGGCACATCAACAGATTTTTCACCTAGTCGGCTCAGGGATTAGAACCAGCGACCTTTCGGTTACTGGCACAACGCTCTTAACCACTAAGCTATCTGCTGTTGCTGTTGTATAATGTCCTTCTGTTGATGATGTAATCTTGCTGAGTGCACCTTTAAGAGTTCAGCTGTGTGCACCACTATCATGCACATACAGTGTAGAGACTGAAGGGATTCTTCAACCTAGCACTTTCTCAGGATCGGCATTTGGCAATATCCCAAGAATATTTTCCTTATTATATGGATAATAGCTCAAGAATCCAACTTTTTCTGAGACACAGAATCATGCGCTGCACTGGAGGAAATAGGGTAGCTAGTGAAGGGGTAGCAAAATAATTTGTATCTTTCGTTCTAATGCCTGACCATACCATAGCAGAGCTCAAAGGACTGACAAGTGACAACAATACCTTTCATTACTTGTTCCACTCAAACAAGAAGTAGGCTGTCCAAAGCTCAACTCTGTTTTGAACTGGATGTCAAATAAATTAGCAAGTTTATGTTTTCTTCATTAATTCAACATAATGTGCTAACAAAGCACATTCGCTAACAAAACAAGTTCCTGTTTGCTAAAGAAATATTTGCACAAAACAAGTTGTGCTAACAAAAGCATGCTGGAAAAAAATGTGCTTGATAAATAATCATTGTTTATGAACAGAACATGTTTGCTTACAGAACGTGTTCCCTAACAAATCATTTGCTAAAGACAAGGAGATTAAACTTATGTCACGTGTCGAGTTCCAATTGCTGCCACTCTCAAATAGGTTGGTATTGCAAGGTTTGTGTATTCTTTCTGGAATCTTATTTGCTGATAAGGAGAGTTGTAACCTTAAACACCTACATAAAATCTGCTAAGAAAAATCAGAAAAAATATCTGGTCATTTTGTCAGAGCCCAACCACTACTAGAGCACACAAAACAAGACTGTTCAATTTGCAGATTGGACGATAATTAAAGGGATAGTTCGGGATTTTGGCAGTGAAGTCCCTTATCTACTTCCCCAGAGTCAGATTAACTTGTGGACACCATTTTTATGTCTCTGCGCCCAGTATGCAGGAAGTAAGAGGTAATTTTGTGAGCCAATGCTAACTAGCGTTAGTGCTATAATTGGAAGTCTACAGGAACAGCTAGCATATTAGATGTTCCCATCGACTTCCAGTCATTGCACTAATGCTAGTAGCAATTGCGCTAACGTTAGTTACCAACTTCCTTCAAACTGAACGCTGAGTCATAAAAATGGTATCCACAAGTTCATCTGACTCTGGGGAAGTAGATAAAGGGCTTCATTGCCAAAATCCCGAACTATCCCTTTAAGAAGATTGCTTGATTGCCCCAATCTGGCAGCCCACGTGGCTAGCTCCTAGAAGTGAACTCTCCCCCCCCCACCCCCGGATACTTAATTAGGGCTCATTAACGGAGAGTTAATTAGCCCTAGTCTGGCCTGTTCAGTAGCCTACATAGTCTGTGGTCAGCATGCAGGAGTTAGGGGAGAGAAGGTGGTGGTGCCCAAGATCTGAGCTAGTTAGTCAGCCTTTGCCACCCCCTCTCCCCTCTCCATCTCTCACTGCTGCTCCTCTTCGGCCTGGGGCGGGACCTCGGGCTGAACCTGGTCCTCGGGTTGGGGCTGGGGCTGCTCCTGGAGGGGCCTGGCTGGGGCCGGGGGAGGAGGGGGCCGCGGGGGCACGGCCTGGTGCTGTCTCTGGCGGTAAGCGATGACTGTGCCCAGTAGCAGGGCGATGACCGTCATGAGGTAGAGGTCCCACTCGGGGCCCAGGAGCTGGTCAAGGTCCACCTGACTGACCAGCTCAGTCATCTGGTGGAGGGGGGATGGAGGGAGATGATGCAGGGAGAGGGAGCAGAAAGAGAGAGAGCATTGATTACATTTAACCAGCAGTACAATCCCATGAATCCTGTACGAATGTAATAAACTACAACTAGCCTAAGTTTGCCTCAAACATTGAGCCTGGCCCACACGAGTTGAAATAGAAACGACTGATGAAACAATCTCCCAGAGTCACCCAGGTCCAGGAGGCGCTCTGTACTGTACACTCACGTTGAGGTCGTGCATGTACTGCAGGGTGTAGACCAGGCCCAGTTTACACAGAGCCAGGAAGACGGGCACCTGGGCGTCGGGACTGGCCTCGGCAGCCATGTCATAGAAACGCTTGGCCAAGTGGATGTCCTACACGAGGGGGAAAGATAGAGGGTTACATGGTTGTGTGCGGGTGTCCCCTGTAGCTCAGTTGGTAGAGCATGGCGCTTGCAACGCCAGGGTTGTTGGTTCATTTCCCCCGGGGGGCCAGTATGAAAATGTATGCACTCACTAACTGTAAGTCGCTCTGGATAAGAGCGTCTGCTAAATGACTAAAATGTTAAATGTAAATGTGTATGAATGTGTGCGCATGTGTGTGTTTGCCCACCTGTTTGATGCCCAGGCCTTTCTCATGCATGTAGCCCAGGTTGAACATGGCCTGAGCACTGTGCTGCTGCTCCGAGGCCAGCCTATAGTGGATGACAGCAGTCTCGTAGTCCACGTTAGTGCCGTAACCGTAGAAGTGGTAGTCCCCGAGCTTTATTCTAGCCACTGTATAACCTGGGTAACACAGTTGGACATATAGTACCCACGTCAGTACCATAACCGTACACACGCCAGTACCATAACCGTTGAAGTGGTAGTCCCCCAGCTTTATCCTAGCCACTGTATAAACTGGGCCCAGTTTTTCAAACCAAATGTCATGGGATCATATAACATTATATTTATTGTAGCATATAATGTGATATGTTGCAGATTTGCTTCTATTTTGTGACAGGATCATTTTAATCTAGATTCAAATGTTGTTGTTTTTTTAACTGGGGCCCTGGGTAACACAGTTGAAGATACAGTACACACGTCAGTCCCGTAACCGTAGAAGTGGTTGTCCCCCAGTTTTATCCTGGTCCCTGTTTAACCTGAGTCACACAGTTGAACATACAGCACACGTCACTTCAATTCCCCAGCTTTATCTTAGCTATCCTTGCCTACAATAACTTAAGGGTACAAAAACAAGATGGTTGCTCAGCACAGAAATAACAGGGGAGGGTGATTTATGAAGGAGGCTAGACCAACCCTGTGCTGCTGCTCTGGTCCAATGGAGGAGGGCTCGAGGGTACGTCTCGTTCTCACTGAAGATCCGCGCCTCCTCTGCTTAAAAATGAGACGCGCACACACACACACACACACACAGTTCAGAACAGGGGTTGGAACCCAAATTATTTTCCAAATTGTTCCATTCGAAACTCAATATTTTTTTGTTACAACCATCATAATAAAAGTTGTGAACTGGTTCGAACCCCAAAAAAGTCATGGTTCATATAGTTCCTTTTTGTTAATTTTTTCAACCCGTGAAATCAACAGTCTTTAAATTTAGCTTATTATCACGACTAGAGCACCTTGCTTTGGAACGGGTAAGATAGTTGTTTACATGTTTAATTGGTCAGATAAGTGCCGGCTTGATATGCAGCTGAAATAGGCATATTCTTATCCTCTCCCCTGGGTCCTTATTGTACAAGAGAAAATAGTGCACTGTTTTGTCAATATATATGGTAAAATAATGGTTAGTAAACAACTAAGGGGGGCCCTATAAAATCTGTTTTATATTTTCCTTTTCATGGTTTAAGATTTGTTTAGTTTTTCATGCTCAAACTTACAACTGTTCATAGAGAAACATCGATATTGGATGTTCCGAGTCCATGTCAATGCTTAAATCACAGAAGACCATTTTCTTTAGGTCTGGAAAACTAACATTTTGATTTGTAAGTGTAATTCCCCTTTAATTGAGCGTCTGGCCCTTTAATTGCCCTTCTAGCGAGTGAGGAATGTGCCGTCTAATGTGATGGTCTAGCAATGTATCTGTACTGCTGCTGCTCATCTCATGGCAAAGTTCGCAAATAACAAATAGATACAAATGATATAATTCAGTGGTCACCTACCGGTCAATCGTTATCGACTGGTCGATCTTCAAGGCATTCCTAGTCGATCACCAAACATTTCTGCAGAAAAGCCAACAATAAAGGCTTGCACTCCTTTTTTTATTATTTGTGTTGCGCTGTTGGCGGTAGGTGCACTTGATTCATAAGCCCTGCGCACCGGATAGGCAAAGTGTTCCCATTTGGAACCATTTAAATTTGTCTGAAAATACAATTTCAGCCCGCCCGGCGGACAGGGAGATCTGTGTCTAAATCACCGTTCCTACAGCGTCCATGACACCGGCAACAGCAAATTTTGATACTAGCCTACGTGAGACTTCATAACTTTTAAAATCATCAACAGAGAGAGACTGCCAAAGAATAAAGCAAAAAGCAGCTGTTTTTATGCGTGAGATCTTAAGTTTTTATTCAGCACTGTCAATACTCTTTTTGCTCAACACTATTACAAAACATAAAAGCACTTGCGCAGCAGCTGCAATGAATGAGTAGCCAAGTGTATCGATAGCCCTGCGTGTCTATTTTAATAGAGGAACATTTCACTTTCTCTGGTCATAGGAACAACATTAATTTGTGCACGAGGCAGATGCGGTGCAACTCGAGTTTCCCCATCAGGTGGAAGACAGTGTCCCCTCTCTCTGGTCAGTCTCCCTGGAGGAAAGGAAGGAGAGAGCAGGGACTCTGCTGCTCTCTCCCTACCTCCGCTGAGACTAATGCCGTGTTCAAAACAACTGGGAACTCGGAAATGTCAGATTTCAGTGCGTTCAAGACAACTAGGAACTCAGTCTGGAAAAAATTGTTTAACGGTCATCCAACTCGAAATTCCAAGTCGGGAATGCTGGCCTCTTTCTAGAGCTCCGACTTTCCGACCTGAAGATCAGTGACGTCATGACCAAGTTCCCAGTTGTCTTGAATGCACAATGAACATCAGATGCAGGTACCAGCAGCCCAGTAAAATAAAAAAGCAAATTATTTGCAAATTATTAAAATGTACATTCAACTATGCCTCACAAGTGCTACACCGACTGATCTATTTGGTTTTCAAAGCTCGAGTTTTGAAATATAATATGGTCAAGGGGCGCAACTTTCACTAGGGACAGGGGGGACATGACCCCCCTCACATTCTGAAATTGCATTTTTGTCACCCCCAGTTTTATTATTGCACTGTGATACAAAATAAGGCACCGGTGTGCTTTGGGACCATGCGGACGCCTCAGAGCGTTCGGGTTCAGCCGGCTGGATTTTGGACCGCACGGACACCACAGCGCGTGCGGACAGGCAGTGTGAAGGCAAAGCTTCTGAAAGGCTGGCACATAGGACCAGCATGGGAGAGATTAACAGAGGCAGCTGCTGTCTCTGTGTTACGCTATTTCTCCAAGTTGTAAAAGCAAGCAGAGCAGAAACTGGCTACTCTTTAGTTGACTGATCTAGCTGGCAAGGTAACTACTGTTTGACAGAAAAAAAAAGTATTTATTCCCAGTACTGAGCTAGTAGTGTAACTGACGTTACGTTAGCTAATGTAATGTTTCATCCCCTCTCGACTGGAGTGAATGAACTACTAGCCATCTGTCAGTTAGCAATATCTAACAGCTGTTGTGTGTATGGAAATGTTTTCTAGCCTTTGTTATGACCCATTTTAACAGAAGTAAATTTGATGTACCATTAGCTAGAGCTAGCCAAAAGTTGTCTAACGTTAGCTAGCTAGCTCACTAACTTCAGCTATTATTTTTGCCTCAATCACACTAGACCTGAATCAAACGATGAAACCAGCGGCCAAACGATTGAAGACTGATATTCTGACGTTTTTTCAGCGCAATGTGAGTTTTTATTAGTCAGTATAGCAATGTAATGTTATTGAGTTGAGTTTAGTTTGAGTTTATTTTTACAGGGACAGTGCACATTAATCAACGTTTCAGTAAAAGTGCCGGTTTTAGCCAGCCGGCTAATTTTCAACCGCAGTCCCTGGGCAGGTTATTAAAAACAATTACAATATGGACAATAACAACATAGAACAAGACATAGCATACAGAAATAGCAACATAGGACAAGCAAGACGTAGCATACAGACCGAGCAACATAGAACAAAAAGCAGCAAGACAAAATTCATAAAAGCAACAAAATGTTTCCACACCTCACAAGTTACAGACAACAGACATGGAAAGCGGCAACACACAGCTAGGGACCATGTTCACAAATCTGATTGACCTTTAGCCATGTCTTCAAGCATTTTGTGAAAGTGTGATATGTGGTGCAGTTGTGTGTGTCTGATGGCAGTGTATTCCAGACATGGGAAGCTCTCACAGAAAAAGCAGATTTACTAAAGGTGCTTTTCCTTAGGGGAACTACACAGTCACCTCTCATGGCAGACCTTGTGGATCTGCTGCCATATGTTTGAGTTTTCTGTTTAACAAAAATACTGAGTGGAGGGGGAGCCAAGCCATTTAGGATCTTGAATACAAGACATGCATCGGTGTATTGCACAAGATTTTCCCAACTCAGGAGCTCATGCTTTCTAAGGATGTGACAGTGATGATGGCTATTGGGCTTCCTATCAAGCACTTTGAGAGCCTGTTTGTAGACAGACTGAATAGGTCTTACTGTTGTACAGCAAGCTTGGGCCCAACTAGTCAAGCAGTATGTTAAGTGGGGGAGTATCATAGATTTGAAGTACAGTTTTGCTACCTCTGTAGTCAAACAATTTCGTATAAATCGGAAATTAGCTAGGTTGAATTTGGTTATTTGAATTACCTTTTTCACATGCTTTTTAAAAGAGAGGTTGGAATCAAGTATGATGCCAAGGTACTTAAAATCAGATACCCCCTGGAGCTTCTCCCCTGACACATAGACTTCTGGCTCAGTAGCATCTGTTGCCCTCTTTGTGAAGAACATGCAAACAGTTTTTTTCACATTGAGATGCAAACACGAGTCACTGAGCCACTTTGTAACCTGGACCATTACAGTAGTGAGTTCTTGTGCAGCTTGTTGTTTGCTCTTTGCATGCACATATATCACTGTATCATCTGCATACATTTGAACTTCAGACCCAGTACAGACAGAAGGCAGATCATTAATGTACAGGCTGAACAGGAGGGGCCCCAGTATTGACCCTTGGGGCACACCCACATCATAGCTAAGAGTGGGCGATAGCTCATTGCTCACTCTGACACACTGAGTTCTGCCTTCAAGGTATGATTTCATCCATCTCAAGGCATCGGGGGAAAAGTTGAACTTGGACAATTTTGTGATGAGAATCTCATGGTTAACAGTATCAAAAGCCTTCCTTAGGTCCAGAAACACAGCCCCAACAACTGATCTGTCAGTTTCCCTAGTTATTTCCCTACTTTTCAGACTGACACGGTATAAACAGTTCTACACGCTTCACTGTCAAGGTGCACAGTCAGTACACAACAATATGCTCATCATGTCTTAGCAGGATTAGATGGCAACAGGTGTCCCTGCTGGGTCAGACAGCCAGGGAAAACAAGCCTATGGAGCTCAAGTGAATTTTGCAGTATATTATAATACATCTGTGAATGTATACAAAGTTCCATCTTGAGTTGATGGATACAGTCTAGGATCTGAGAATAATGGTCATTTCAATTATTGAACCATTGATTCTATTCTTGGATAATATCATGTATAAATGTACACCAAGGTAATTCTTTGTCATGCCTCATCTGAGCAGGATCAGATGGCGACAGGGGTCTCAGCAGGGTCAGAGAACCAGGGAAGACCAGTCTGTGACAGCGCAGAGGTGAACTTTCACAGATACAACACTTAATTCTCTCTGTGCAGCAAACACTGGACAAGCAAGAAGCTTCAAAGATCGCCTTAAAATAGTTTCAGTCTGACAAACCTTAGAGTTGATTTCCAAACAGATCTTGACAAACCATTTCTGTATGGACCTCGCTTTGTGCACAGGGGCATTGTCATGCTGAAACAGGAAAGGCCCTTCCCAAACTGTTGCCACAAAGTTGGAAGCACAGACTCGTCTAGAATGTCATTGTATGCTGTAGCGTTAAGATTTCCCTTCACTGGAATTAAGGGGCCTCGCCGAACCATGAAAACAGCCCCAGACCATTATTCCTCCTGCACCAAACTTTACAGTTGGCAGTATGCATTGGGGCAGTTAGCATTCTCCTGGCAACCGCCAAACCCAGATTCTTCTGTCAGACTGCCAGATGGTGAAGCGTGATTCATCACACCAGAGAACGCGTTTCCACTGCTCCAGACTCCAATGGCGACAAGCTTTACACCACTCCAGCCGACGCTTGGCATTGCGCATGGTGATCTTAGCCTTGTGTGCGGCTGCTCGGCCATGGAAGCTCCCGACGAACAGTTATTGTGCTGACGTTGCTTTCAGAGGCAGTTTTGAACTCGGTAGTGAGTGTTACAACAGAGGACAGACGGCGGTCCCGTTCTGTGAGCTTGTGGCCTACCACTTCGCGGCTGAGCAGTTGTTGCTCATAGACGTTTCCAATAACAGCACTTACCATTGACCGGGGCAGCTCTAGCAGGGCATAAATTTGACGAACAGACTTATTGGAAAGGTGGCATCATATGACGGTGCAACGTTAAGTCACTGAGCTCTTCAGTAAGGCCATTCTACTGCCAATGTTTGTCTATGGAGATTGCATGGCGGTGTGCTCGATTTTATATACCTGTCAGCAACGGGTGTGGGTGAAATAGCCGAATCCACTAATTTGAAGGGGTGTCCACACACATATATATATATATATATATATATATAAAAATGTACTTCTGCCAGGTAAGCCTACTTTGCAGTTAACATTTAATTGAGAAGGTTTAGGGGAAAGTATTTCTATCTACCAACAAGATGGCTATCACATCAACTGGATGGCTACACAAGGAGTGATAGACAAACACGCGCACCACACAGCCAGACCAGGGCAATACTGCTGGAAATTAATTGGAAGATATTGTGTTAGGTTTGGCTTTTTAAGTCAATAGTGGCTAACCAGGGGTGGGATAATGTCAACGGTGCGTTGATTAGATAGTAGTTGGGAGCTTGCGGTGTCTGATACTTGTGAGATTTGTTTATGACAGTTTGCGGTGGAAAACTTGAAAATTGCATGTACTTCCAGAATTGTTTGGTGTGCTCCTCATAGGTGGGCTGTGAGCTACTGGTTGCTCGCAATCGACCTGTTGGAGACCCATGTACTAGGAATAGTTACTGTATTTTATTAACCGTTTCTCAAGATTTTAAATAATGTTTCTGTTCCAGAACACTAGAGAAGTTATGGTTCTGTTTGTCAAAAAATGAAGTTATTTTCCAGTTGTGTGTTGTTTCCTGAACCGGTTCCAACCCATGGTTCATAAATACAAAATGGTACCAACTGGTTTAATATCATCATGATAAGTGGTAATTAAATGCATTCAAGATTTACTTTGTCAAAAATGACAGTGTATTTGCAAAGGATTCAGACCCCTTGACTTTTTCCACTTTGTTACGTTACAGCATTATTCTAAAATTGATTAAATTGTTTTTCCTCATCAATCTACATACAATACCCCATAATTACAAAGCAAAAACAGGTTTTTTGAAATGTTTGCTAATTTATATAAAAATAAAAACTGAAATATCACATTTACATAAAAGTATTCAGACCCTTTACCCTTTACTTTGTTGAAGCACCTTTGGCAGTGATTACAGCCAAGTCTTCTTGGGTATGATGCTACAAGCTTGGCACACCTGTATTTGAGTAGTTTCTCCCATTCTTCTCTGCAGATCTTCTCAAGCTCTGTCAGGTTGGATGGGGAGAGTCGCTGTACAGCTATTTTCAGGTCTCTCCAGAGATGTTGGATCAGGTTCAAGTCCGGGCTCTAGCTGGGCCACTCAAGGACATTCAGAGACTTGTCCCGAAGCCACTCCTGCGTTGTCTTGGCTGTGTGCTTAGGGTCGTTGTCCTGTTGGAAGGTGAACCTTCGCCCCAGTCTGAGGTCCTGAGCGCTCTGGAGCAGGTTTTCATCAAGGATCTCTCTGTACTTTGCTCCGTTCATCTTTCCCTCGATCCTGACTAGTCTCCCAGTCCCTGCCACTGAAAAACATCCCCCCAGCATGATGCTGCCACCACCATGTTTCACCATAGGCATGGTGCCAGGTTTCCTCCAGAAGTGACGCTTGGCATTCAAGGTATTTCTGTTTTATAATTTTAATACATTTGCAAACATTTCTAATAACTGTCATTATGGGGTATTGTGTGTAGATTGATGAGGATTTATTTATTTATTATTATTTTAGAATAAGGCTGTAACGCAACAAAATGTGGAAAAAGTAAAGGGGTCTGAAAACGTTCAGAACGCACTGTTTGTGTAAAAGCACGTATCAGAAGGGCTGCACAAAGAAATTGATTATTTTAGCATAGTGTAACAATCGTTCATGATCTAAACAACAACCACAGGGGATTCACTGCATTCCGGTGAATTCTTATTTCTCCAAAATCACATATTTTCATATAACCAGACAAGAGGTTAGTGTTCTGAACACATTAGATCAGATGGCAGGCCACAGACTTTCCCCAGGCCGTATGCTTGGTTCACTTGTTATAGAGTAACAGTGCCCTCTGGTGACAGAGGTGAGTGGAAGCAGTGGTGGCATGGTCGTACCAATGTACATACTGTATGAGAGCCACATTTGGTTTCTCCCCTTTCTCCCTAAAAGTGTGCACTTGTTCAAATTTGAATTTAAAAGGAATTAACTTGTGGAAGGCACATGGCTCACTCTTGCCCATGGCTACACCAATCCAAATGCTGAAGAAGGAGAAACATAATTGGGATAAGGAGGTTCAAGATGGTTGCAGTTAAACAGTACGGAACTCTTCAAAACAGTTCCCCCTAGCTAGCTAGGGTATATATATAGATATATATATATATATAGATATATATATATATATATATATATATATATATATACATATATACATACATACATACATACATACATACATACATACATACATACATACATACATACATACATACATACATACATACACACACACTCTACCGGTCAAAAGTTTTAGAACACCTACTCATTCAAGGGTTTTTCTTTATTTATACTTTATTTACATTGTAGAATAATAGTGAAGACATAAAAACAATGAAATATCACATATGGAATCATACAGTAACCAAAAAAAGTGTTAAACAAATCAAAATATATTTTATATTCAAATAGCCACCCTTTGCCCTGATGACAGCTTTGAACACTCTTGGCATTCTCTCAACCAGCTTCACCTGGTATGGTTTTCCAACAGTCTTGAAGGAGTTCCTACATATGCTGAGCACTTGTTGGCTGCTTTTCCTTCACTCTGCGGTCCGACTCATCCCAAACCATCTCAATTTGGTTGAGGTCAGGGGATTGTGGAGGCCAAGTAATCTGATGCAGCACTCAATCACTCTCATTCTTGGTAAAATAGCCCTTACACAGCCTGGAGGTGTGTTGGGCCATTGTCCTGTTGAAAAACAAATGATAGTCCCACTAAGCCCAAACCAGATGGGATGGCATATCGCTGCAGAATGGAATGCTGTGGTAGACATGCTGGTTAAGTGTGCCTTGAATTCTAAATAAATCACAGACAGTGTCACCAGCAAAGCACCCCCACACTATAACACCTCCTCCTCCATGCTTTACGGTGGGAAATACACATGCGGCGATTATCCGTTCACCCACACCGCGTCTCACAAAGACATGGTGGCTGGAACCAAAAATCTCCAATTTGGACTCCAGACCAAAGGACACATTTCCACCGATCTAATGTCCATTGCTGTTGTTTCTTGGCCCAAGCAAGTCTCTTCTTATTATTGGTGTCCTTTAGTAGTGGTTTCTTTGCAGCAATTCGACCATGAAGGCCTGATTCACACAGTCTCCTCTGAACAGTTGATGTTGAGATGTGTCTGTTACTTGAACTCTGTGAAGCATTTATTTGGGCTGCAATTTCTGAGGTGCAGCTAACGCTAATGAATTTATCCTCTGCAGCAGAGGTAACTCTGGGTCTTCCATTCCTGTGGCGGTCCTCATGAGAGCCAGTTTCATCATAGCACTTGATGGTTTTTGCGACTGCACTTGAAGAAATGTCAAAGTTCTTGACATTTTCCATATTGACTGACCTTCATGTCTTAAAGTAATGATGGACTGTCGTTTCTCTTTGCTTATTTGTGGTCCTCTGTAGCTCAATTGGTAGAGCATGGCGCTTGTAACGCCAGGGTAGTGGGTTCGATCCCCAGGACCACCCATACGTAAAAATGCATGCACTTGGATAAAAGCGTCTGCTAAATTACACAAATTAACTTTTAACAAGTCACACCTGTTAATTGAAATGCATTCCAGGTGACTACCTCATGAAGCTGGTTGAAAGAATGCCAAGAGTGTGCAGAGCTGTCATCAAAGCAAAGGGTGGCTATTTGAAGAATCTCATTTTGATTTGTTTAACACTTTTTTGGTTACTACATGATTCCATATGTTATTTATTATGTTATTTATTCATATGTTATCCATATATTTGTTATTTCATCGTTTTGATGTCTTCACTATTATTCTACAATGTAGAAAATAGTTAAAATAAAGAAAAACCCTTGAATGCGTAGGTGTCCAAACTTTTGACTCGTACTGTACATACATACACACACAGTTTATGTGTTCTTACTCTGGTCAAGGATGAAGGCTACGTTGCTCTGGGCCACTTCATAGCCCTGCTCGGCCAGCAGCAGGTACTGCACCAGCGACCCATCCATGTCGCCGTCCTTGAAGCTGCCGTAGGCTGCCATAAGCCTCTCCGACCAGCGCCCACGCTCACACACATTCTTGAAGAGCTGCTCGCAGACACACACACACACACAAAAGACAGACATATACACACAGAAACATGAACAAAACAGGGGCTGTTCAGGCAATTCTCAAGATAGTAGTCGCCCCTAAGCACAGACCTAGGATCAGATTACACAACCCCTGATTTTAACTTTAACCAATGGGAGGATTAAAATGTATCTGACCCCAGTTGTGGTTCAATGGCTAAGGAATGGATAAGTATGGATTGGCAAACAATGACTGACAATGAGTAGCTAATGGCTAAATGCTTAGCTAATGCATGGCTGAATAGCAGCTAACGGAGGGCAATTAGCAGGCTACTAAATGGCTAAACGGGTGGCTATTTTTAATGCCTAGCTAGAAGACGGCTAATTGGTTATTCATGCATAACTCTAACGGATTAAGGTTAATCTCAGGCTAACGGATGGTTTATTGATGATTAATGCACAGCTAACAAAGCTAATTGCTGGCTAATAAACCGGGAAACACTGTCTAGAGGCTAGCTTCCAGGTGGCTAGTGTAGCAGTGGTGTGTGATAAGTTAATTAAAGGCTAATGAACTGAAGGACTGGGATACTCAACTAGCTAATAGCTAGCTAATGGCTAATCCTATAGCTATACAATTCCATAGCAGCTAACGGCTAGTTGACGGATAATGCTATTGCTAGCCAATTCTATACAGCAGCTATAGCTAATTAATGGCTAATGCCGCAGCTAGCCAATTATGTACAGCAGCTAGCTAATGGCTAACTAGCTCACCTCCACGGCGGTGTGGCAGGAGCGCATAACGCCGGTGCCCGTGGCGTGCATCTGGCCCAGGTTGTAGAATGCCAGGATGTGGCCCGCCTGCGAGGCCAGGTTGAAAAACTTGAGGGCCTGCTTGTAGTCACGCTTCACCCCGATGCCATCTGGGGAGGAAGAGGAGGAATGGAGAGACAAAAGTGAGTGAGAGATCCCCAACATTGAGAAGGAGAGGGAGAGGAAGATGTGGTGTGCAAGAGAAAAAAAGAGTGGCATCTTATGGCTGCAGAGTTGCAGAGTTGGGAGCAGAATTTTGGTAGGCAACTAACATTGCACTGTTCCCCAGGAGACCAAAGGGACAAGGCTGTTTTACACTAACCAACAGAAAAAACAGTGGGTCTCTACACACACACAGGCCCACACGCATGCGCACACACTCACTGTAGTACATGGTACCCAGCTGAAGCTGTCCGTCTACCCAGCCCTGCTCCGCTGCCTTCTGGAAGTATTTCAGCGCCAACTCGTAATTCTGTAGGACACACACACAAAACTATTGTGTAAATCATACAGAAAATACAGACAGGCCTACACAGCTGCTGGATTCAAATGCCAATGTTTACAAAAGCTCACTTTAGTAATTTAACTACAGTTTGAATCAAACAGGCATGCAGCTGAACCTTATTGCATGTGCCAAATCTTTACCTAAAATAAATGTGTTTTGCCAAGCTCTTCTAGTGTAGGTGCCAGGTGGTATGGGTGGCACTGGGTGATGGTGGACACTGGCAGTCACTTACCACTGGCACGCCCCTCCCGTACAGGTACGCCATGCCCAGTCCACTCTGTCCAACAGGGTTACCCTAGGGGACAAGAACAGCGGGTAAGGACACCAAAAAGAGAGGCAGTCTTGAAAACCACATCTACACCGGTTAATTTGACTAATAATGTATAACTGATCGATCCTGAAAAACCATGTTATCATTGAAAAGCGATGTATAAGAATATTTCTGTCCCAACAGTTTTTGACCACTATGAGCAGTGGACTTTTATATTGGGAATTCTTACAGGCATACAGTGCATTCAGAACGTATTCAGACCACTCAAAGACATTCAGAAACTTGTCCCGAAGCCACTCTTGCGTTGTCTTGGCTGTGTGCTTAGGGTCGTGGTCCTGTTGGAAGGTGAACCTTCGCCCCAGTCTGAGGTCCTGAGCGCTCTGGAGCAGGTTTTCATCAAGGATCTCTCTGTACTTTGCACCGTTCATCTTTGCCTCGAAAAACCTGCCGCTGAAAAACATCCCTAGAGCATGATTCTGCCACCACCATGCTTCACCGTAGGGATGGTGCCAGGTTTCCTCCAGACGTGATGCTTGGCATTCAGGCCAAAGAGTTCAATCTTGGTTTCATCAGACCAGAGAATCTTGTTTCTCATGGTCTGAGTCCTTTAGGTGCCTTTTGACAAACTCCAAGCGGGCTGTCACGTGCCTTTTACTGAGGAGTGGCTTCAGTCTGGCCACTCTACATAAAGGCCTGATTAGTGGAGTGCTGCAGAGATGGTTGTCCTTCTGGAAGGTTCTCCCATCTCCACAGAGGAACTCTGGAGCTCTGTCAGAGTGACCATCGGGTTCTTGGTCACCTCCCTGACCAAGGCCCTTCTCCCCCGATTGCTCAGTTTGGCTGGGCGGCCAACTCTAGGAAGAGTCTTGGTGGTTCCAAACTTCTTCCATTTAAGAATGATGGAGGCCACTGTGTTGTTGCAGAAATGTGTTGGTACCCTTCCCCAGATCTGTGCCTCGACACAATCCTGTCTCTGAGCTCTACGGACAATTCCTTCGACCTCATGGCTTGGTTTTTGCTCTGACATGCACTGTCAACTGTGGGACCTTATATAGACATGTGTGTGCCTTCCAAATCATGTCCAATCAATTGAATTTGCCACAGGTGGACTCCAATCAAGTTGTAGAAAAATCTCAAGGAGGATCAATGGAAGAATAATGCACCTGAGCTCAATTTTGAGTCTCATAGCAAAGGGTCTGAATACTTACGTAAATAAGGTTTTTCTGTTTTTTTCTACATTTGCAAAAATTTCTAAAAACCTGTTTTCGCTTTGTCATTATGGGGTATTGTTTGTAGATTGATGAGGGAAAAAAATAATGTAATCCATTCTAGAATAAGGCTGTAATGTAACAAAATGTGGAAAAAGGGAAGGAGTCTGAATACTTTCCGAATGCACTGTATGTGCAGGCACTGTGGCCTATCTATAAGATACCCAAAGGAGTGAATTGTTTGATAAATGGAAAGATGAAGCAAACAGAGTTATATAGATATCATTATGGATGTATAACAATCCATGGCTGGACCATAGAAATATGATTTCCACTCCAGTGATTCTATTTCTAAGATTTGGACACTCACCAGGTCAGAGGCCTTCTTGAAGTACTGCAGGGCCGTCTCATTGTTCTGAGACAAGTACTCACTGCCATCCGAGTACATCTGACAGAGAGAGACAGAGAGTGAGAAAAGAGCAAGAAAAGACAGGCGAGAGAAAAAAAGAACAAAGAAAAAATAAAGAGAAGGAGAGAGAAGGGAGCATGAGGAGAAACCACTGGAAAGTAGCACAGCCACAGAGTAAGGTTAGCGTTACCTACTTACTTCTACACAGTGCTACAGGCCTATAAAATCATGTAATAATCTTACCTTCCCAAGGAAGGCCATGGCGTGTGTGTTCCCGGCATTCGCTGCCTGGTTGAAGTAATCATAGGCCCGCTGTCGACAAACAAACATTTAATCACATTAAATACAAGAGTGAGCAGCACAGCTAGTGTTCGAATAAGGTTGAAAATGGGTTAGGGAAAGGTTACCTGGTGGTTCTGCTCCACCCCCCGACCACCGTGCAGATGCAGCTGGCCCAGTCCAACCTGTTGTGAACAAAGCATGGGGTCATGGCACAAAACACGACGTATGAGTCCCAAATGGCACCATATTCCCTATATAGTGCACTACTTTTGGAAGTGCTTTCTCCTCCAGTGGTTTCTCCTCATGCAATTTTGAGGAAGGCCCTCAAAATTGTCAAAGACTCCAGCCACCCTAGTCATAGACTGTTCTCTCTGCTACCGCACGGCAAGCGGTACCGGAGTGCCAAGTCTAGGTCCAAAAGACTTCTCAACAGCTTCTACCCCCAAGCCATAAGACTCCTGAACAGCTAATCATGGCTACCCGGACTATTTGCACTGCCCCCCCCACCCCATCCTTTTTACGCTGCTGCTACTCTGTTAATTATTTATGCATAGTCACTTTAACTCTACCCACATGTACATATTACCTCAACTATCTCAACTAGCCGGTGCCCCCGCACATTGACTCTGCAACGGTACCCCCCTGTATATATAGCCTCCCTACTGTTATTTTATTTTACTTCTGCTCTTTTTTTTCTCAACACTTTTTTTGTTGTTGTTTTATTTTTACTTTTTTGTTAAAAATAAATGCACTGTTGGTTAAGGGCTGTAAGTAAGCATTTCACTGTGATGTCTGCACCTGTTGTATTCGGCGCATGTGACCAATAAAATTTGATTTGATTTGATTTACTTTTGACCAGAATCCACCTTTTCAATCATTACATGCTTACCCATTTTCATGCTATAGTCGTGCAAGCGCCAGAGAAACTTGAAAATCAAGAGACTCAACAAGTGATTTGATTACTTCCTTTAACTCCCGCAAGTGCGAGGAAGGGTATAATGGGTATAATGCCCTGAATTCATAATTTATAGAATTTTCCATTTTCCCTGACTGTCTAGCTTTAATTTTGGTGATTGTTAGTTCTCAAAGATTACATTATGAAAAAATATATAGGGCTATTATCTTTTCTACATACTTTCAATTTAGTTTTCATCCTTCAAGTTTACAGTGAATGCTGTTTTTCCCATCGCAAAGAACTCCAAAGAATTTCCTACGCAGAAAAAACACTAAGAGCAGTCTTCCCCATCTTAACCCTAACCTGGGCCTGGACGTCTCCCTTCTCAGCAAGGAACTGGTAGTACTGGATCAGGTCTTCCTCCAGCATGCCGCTGGTAGAGCCCGGGTTCTCCACCTCGTCCAGCAGACGCACCCTCTGCACCGCACTGCCTCCCGTCAGGGACACATCACTGGCCACTGGAGAAAGACACATGTTTCTGCATACATGTCTCTGTGATCAGTAGAGTTGCAGCCTTTCCTTTTGTTTAATCAGTTTGCTGAGAATCTGGGGATTTTCCTATAAAAGGGCAGCACCTACAAATGTGCAATAGAGACACTTCGCAACAAAACAAACTTAAAACAAATCTACTTTTCGAACTCTACTGCACATGCTAGTTTAGGGCTGTTTAGATGCAGGTGTTCTCGATTCAAAACACTGAGAAACTGTAATCTGAGACAGTGAAAGTGTTTAATTGGTTGGCAGCGGGTGTCTTCTTACCATGATTGGCCACCAGTCTGTAGTGCGTCAGTGCCGATTCGCAGCTCTGGGGCACACCCACACCACCCCAGTATCGGTATCCCTAAAGAGAGAATGGTAGCAAAGGGAGAAAAGGTCAATCATTATACAGTATATCCATAAGAGAGAAACAATACACATTATAAGGCTTCTCTATTCAAATCTACTAAAAGCAGAAGTAGCTCACCAGAATCATATGAGCCACCAGGTTTCCGCCCAAAGCCCCGAAGGTGTAGTAAACCAACGCCTGAAACAGAGTTGAGGGGATATGCTTTACTTTACATTCCTGGTTAAGGAGGTAACTCCATATTATCTACGAAAGCTACCTCTGAACAAATACAGCTTTTCATCAGTATATAGGCTACATCGAAAGAAGAGAGACGGGCTTGGAGAAAGGAGGGAGAGAGAAAAAGGAGAGAGGCTGGATGTTTGTACCTTTGCTTGACTGGAGTTCACGCCTAACCCGGCAGCGTACAAGAAACCAAGTGCCTGTTGGAAGATACCAGGTGGAGCGTTAGGCTACCTACAACCACACAGAGATGCATAAACATAGATGAAATCGTATATACATACATACATACATACATACATACATACATACATACATACATACATACATACATACATACATCAATTGTTTGTTTTCGTCAGTCAACATTTCTATTCAAGTCAACTACTTTAAAAGCGAGTTGCATACGTAAAAAGATGGACATACTGTGCTTTTTTTGAAGGACAATCAGCTCCGTTCATCAATGGATGACTCAATCCGTAATTTTAAGACAAAAGCTGTGTGGCTGTAGCCCTAAGCATCAACAGAGCATGTTTAAAATGTCTACCCTGGATCCATTTAGTTTAAATAGGAATGTTCCATTACCATCTGAGCTTTGGGGGAGCCCTCCAGGGCCAGCTTCTCAAATAGCTCCTTGGCCTTGGGGATGTCCTGGGTCATGTAGTCTCCAAACAGCATGGCGTAGGCCACCTTCTCCATGGCCTTGTGGTGGCCTTTCCACGCCACCTTCAATAGCTTTTCATACAACCTGATGAGGAATAAGATGAAGATTGAGTAAGTTAAAGGTGTGTATGTAGCCTGGGGTTGTCTAGCAGTCTAAGCCGCTGCCTCTCCTCTAGAACACATGTGTAAAGTACCGCTGCAAGCATGGGTTCGAATCCAACCCACTGCTCTAGCAATATGTTTCCTCCTTCCTTTCTCTCTGTCTATCCTGTCCAAGATAGATACAAAGATACAAAATAAGAAAGGAGTGGGACGAGATTAGCGACAAGACACGCAGCCGTGCAAGCATATCAAAGCTTTCAGAAAGTATTCACACCCCTTTACTTTTTCCACATTTTGTTGTGTTACAGCCTGAATTAAAAATTGCTTAAATTGATATTGTCACAGATCTACACAGAATAACCCATAATGTGGACTTTTGTTTGTAGAAGATTTGAGAAATTAATAACAATTTAAAGCTGAAATGTCTTCAATCAAATCAAATGTATTTATAAATCATTTTTACATCAGATGTCAAAGTGCTATACAGAAACCCAGCCTAAAACCCCAAACAGCAAGCAATGTAGATGTAGAAGCATGGTGGCTAGGAAAAACTCCCTAGAAAGGCAGACACCTAGGAAGAAACCTAGAGAGGAACCAGGCTCTGAGGGGTGGCCAGTCCCCTTCTGGCTGTGCCTGGTGGAGATTATAACAGTACATGGCCATTAAAACCAGATTTTTCTCCAAGATGTTCAAACGTTCATAGATGACCAGCAGGGTCAAATAATAATCACAGTGGTTGTAGAGGTTGCAACAGGTCAGTACATGAGTAGTAAATGTCACTTGGCTTTTCATAGCCGGGCATCTAGAGGTTGATATAGCAGGTGCGGTAAAGAGAGAGAGTTGAAAACAGCAGGTCTGGGACAAGGTAGGACGTCCGGTGAACAGGTCAGGGTTCCATAGCCGCAGGCAAAAGAGTGGAACTGGAGCAGCAGCACGACCAGGTGGACTGGGGACAGCAAGGAGTCATCAGCCCAGGTAGTCCTGAGGCATGGTCCTATGGCTCATGTCCTCCGGGAGGGGAGGGAGAGAGAGAGAGAATTAGGGGGCACGGACCCCTCCTAGGGATGACCCCGTAATAGGGTCAAAGGCAGAGAATCCCAATGGAGAGACAGCAACCGGCCAGGCAGAGACAGCAAGGGCGATTTGTCGCTCCAGTGCCTTTCCGTTCACCTTCGCACCCCTGGGCCAGACGACACGCAATCATAGGACCTACTGAAGAGATGAGTCTTCAGTAAAGACTTAAAGGTCGAGACCGAGTCTGCGTCTCTCACATGGATAGGCAGACCATTCCATACAAATTAAGCTCTATAGGAAAAAGCCCTGCCTCCAGCTGTTTGATTAGAAATTCTAGGGACAATAAGGAGGCCTGCGTCTTGTGACCATAGCCTACGTGTAGGTATGTACGGCAGGACTAAATCAGAGAGATAGGTAGGAGCAAGCCCATGTAATGCTTTGTAGGTTAGCAGTCAAACCTTGAAATCAGCCCTAGCCTTAACAGGAAGCCAGTGTATGCTAGCACTGGAGTAATATGATCAAATATTTTGGTTCTAGTCAAGATTCTAGCAGCCGTGTTTAGCACTAACTGAAGTATATTTAGTGCTTTATCCGGGTATCTGGGGAGTAGAGCATTGCAGTAGTCTAATCTAGAAGTGACAAAAGCATGGATTAGCTTTTCTGCATAATTTTTCGACAAAAAGTTTCTGATTTCTGCAATGTTACGAAGATGGAAAAAAGCTGTCCTTGAAATATTCTTGATATGTTTGTCAAAAGAGATCAGGGTCCAGAGTAACAGTTTTTTTTTGAGACAACTGTACAACCATCAAGATTAATTGTCAGATCCAACAGAAGATCTCTTTGTTTCTTGGGACCTAGAACTAGCATCTCTGTTTTGTCCGGGTTTTAAAGTAAAAAAAATGTCCTGCCATCCACTTCCTTATGTCTGAAACACATGCTTCCAGGGCAGGCAATTTTGGGGCTTCACCATGTTTTATTGAAATGTAGAGCTGTGTGTCGTCCGCATAGCAATGAAAGTTAACATTGTGTTTCCGAATGACATCACCAAGAGGTAAAATATCTAGTGAAAACAATAGTGGTCCTAAAACGGAACCTTGAGGAACACCGAAACGTACAATTGATTTGTCAGAGGACAAACCATCCACAGAGACTAACTGATATCTTTCTGACAGATAAGATCTAAACCAGGCAAGAACTTGTCCTTGCCTGGTTTAGATCTTATCTGTCAGAAAGATATCAAGATATAGGAGCCCAAGGACAGATGCAGAGCCTTGGTCTGACGCCATTAAAAAGTCATTTACCACCTTCACGAGTGCAGTCTCAGTGATTTGATGGGGTCTAAAAACAGACTGAAGCATTTCGTATACATTGTTTTGTCTTCAGGAAGGCAGTGTGTTGCTGCACAACAGCTTTTTCTAAAGATGTTGAGAGGAATGGGAGATTAGATATAAGCCGATAGTTTTTTACAATTTCTGGGTCAAGGTTTGGCTTTTTCAAGAGAGGCTTTATTACTGCCACTTTTAGTGAGTCAATAAATATTCAACCCCTTTGCTCAGGGATTACACCAGGCCAACTGTGATTTTAAAACAGTTACAGAGTTTAATAGTTGTGGTATGAGAAAACTGAGGATATATGAACAACATTGTAGTTACTCCACAATACTAACCTAATGTGGTCCTCTGTAGCTCAGCTGGTAGAGCACGGCGCTTGTAACGCCAAGGTAGTGGGTTCGATCCCCGGGACCACCCATACACAAAAAAAAATGTATGCACGCATGACTGTAAGTCGCTTTGGATAAAAGCGTCTGCTAAATGGCATATTATTATTATTATTAAATGACAGAGTGAAAAGAAGAAAACCTGTACAGAATTTTACATTTTTTTTTTACATGCATCTTATTTGCCACAAGGCACTTAAAAACGGAATATAGCTAGAAACACAGGCTAAATCCTAGAAGAAAACCTGGTTCAGTCTGCTTTCCAACAAACACTGGGAGACTAATTCACCTTTCAGCGGAGAATAACCTAAAACACAAGGCCAAATATACACTGGAGTTGCTTACCAAGAAGACATTGAATGTTCCTGAGTGGCCTAGTTACAGTTTTGACATAAATCGGCTTCAAAATATATGGCAAGACTTGAAAATGGCTGTCTAGCAATGATCATCAATCAACGGGACAGAGCTTAAAGAATTTACAAATGAATAATGGGCAAATATTGTACAATCCAGGTGTGCAAAGCTCTTAGAGACTTACCCAAAAAGAGACAGCTGTAATCGCCCCCAAAGGTGCTTCTACAAAGTATTGACTCAGGGGTGTAAATACCCCTGAGTACAGGTTCTTCTTTTCACTCTGTCATTTAGGTTAGTATTGTGGAGTAACTACAATGTTGTTCATCCATCCTCAGTTCTCATACCACAACTATTAAACTTTGTAACTGTTTTAAAATCACCGTTGGCCTGGTGTAATCCCTGTGTGCAATCTATGAATACTTTCGGAAGGCACTGTACACACAAACAATGCACACACACACACATTCCCATACAAATATAAATTCTTATTTACTAAAAGCACAAAATGGCCATCCTTTCATCTCAGCATGTGCTAACCCATGATGTGGCTATACAAATGGTAGACTATATTTACATTGACATTTTAGTCATTTAGCAGACGCTCTTATCCAGAGCGACTTACAGGAGCAATTAGGGTTAAGTGCCTTGCTCAAGGGCACATCGACAGATTTTTCACCTAGTTGGCTCAGGGATTAGAACCAGCGACCTTTCGGTTACTGGCACAATGCTCTTAAACACTAAGCTACCTGCCGCCTATATGAGGCTCAGATGGATATAGGAGGAGTTAAAGTCAAATCCCACATGCCTCCGTGCCTTAAACCAGGGTTTCCCAAAATCAGCCCAGACTTTCCCTAGTAACCTAAAGACTGTCTGTCTGCATATTTAAAAAGTTTGTTTGGTGTTGATCGCTTAAGCAGTTTAAGCGCTAGAGCAAATAATTTTAAGACTGTAGGATTTCTAGAGTGTTCTTGCTGTCAACAAGCACACTAATAATAAGATTGTTGGATTTCTAAAACGTTCTTGCTCTCAGCAAGCACACTAATAATAATAATAATATGAGTAAGTGGGATGTCTAGAATGTTCTTGCTTTCAGCAGGCACACTTATGAACACTAAAGGAGAATGTGAGAGATTAGTGTGTAGGTGAGACAAGGAGGAGGAGGGGAGGAAAGAGAGCTCACTCTTTCTTCTGGCTCTTCCGGTTGGTTCCGTTAATCATGCGGAGGGCTGTCTGGTACTCCTTTTCGGCCTCCTCCGCTAGATGCCTTTGCTCAGCCTGCTCCTCCGCTACAACACAACACAACTTTATTCATTCACTGTTTGTTTCAGCCTCGTAAGTGGTGTGTGTGTCCCTCTCTAAGGGGGAGGGACAGAAAATAGAATTTCATTTTGACCACAACAATCAAACACTGATTCACTCACAAAGAAAAAAATGTGCTGTCATCTAAGGTTCACTCAAATGATTGGTCAGTCTAGGACAATTCTGAATTTGGTCCTCACTGAGCTTACAAGTTTTGCAGTAGCTCACAAATTCAACCAATAGATTCACTCACTGAATACATTCCATTTAAGATAACAGTAACTAACTCACTTGAGTTTCCTCAAGGTCTGAAACGGCCATGCCGACTTACTCTCACAGAAGCCCCATCTCTTGTCCCTGTCGTAGTCGTAGGTGGCGGCGCACCACAGCCGTTCGTCCCCCCGTCCATCGGTGGTACAGTCCGAGTACTCCTTCCCCAGGAAGAGAAAGGGGAACAGACAGGGCTCCCCATTGGCTGTGCCCCCATTCACCACAGGAACTGCATCAACCAAAAATCACAAATGGTAGGGGGAGTGGAGTTAGTATGTTCAAGCAAAAACACAGACAGGCTTGTAACTGCACGTGCATGTTGTACATGGCTGGTCAAACGCTGAACTATTCATTGAGACAATGCTGAAACGTCAATCCATGGGCAAGCCTGTACCACATTTTCATTTGTGCCGAAATCAAAATGAAAGAAAGCGTAATCTTCCAAATTCAGCAGGTTATGGTGTGAAATAGGCTTTTAGAAGTGCGGTCTTTATTTGATTATTTATCGGTAATCCCGTCTTTGGTGTGCTTATCAATGCACAAGTACCTTTTTCCCCACTCCTATCACTCCTATCTGTGGAACATATTGTAGCATTGTGGCCATAAACAATCCATAGACCAGGTGAATCCAGGTGAAAGCTATGATATTTCAGTCTGGAGTGACCGCTTGGTAAATGTTGACGCGTGAGCAGTTACGGTACTAATTTAGCAAAATAGAAGTAATCTGAACACAAGTATGACACGTGTGTGTATAGGGAGTAATTTGTGTCTTGGTCTTCAACATATCACTTATTTCAGCATACAGATTATGAATTTGGACATTTAAAACCGGTGTTTTGACACTCGGCTATAAATTGGGAAGATGGCACTGCAGTGGATAGCTGCCGTTTTACGGGCTCATGACATTTTGTGGGGGGTTTTACGCTGATCGTAATTTTTTATTTTTTTTACATATTATTTCCGTCATCATTTCCTATGACCAAAAACAGCTTCAGGACATCAGAACAGTGATCACTTACGTCGATTTGGATGAAGATTATTACTTCAACGAGTTCGCAGTTGTGGGATGTACTGCTCCTTGCGGACCAGGCCCTAATCCCGGGACTCGAAAGAGGAAGAGACGGCGCAAAAGAGGCAAACGAGCGGGCTCCCTGACGAGACTACGTTGGCGAGTAAATAAACCACCTCTACCCTCCGTTATATTGGCGAACGTACAATCACTAGAGAACAAACTGGACGAGCTCCGTTTTAAGACTATCCCATCAACAGGACGTGTAGAACTGTAATATCCGGTTTCTCTGAGTCGTGGCTGAAAAGGGACATGGATAACATGCATCTAGCTGGTTTTTCTATTCATCGTCAAGACCAAATGGCAGCTTCGGGCAAGGGGGAAGGTGTGTGTGTCTCTGTTAACAGCTGGTGCGTGATCTCTAATGTTTAGGAAGTCTCAATGTTTTACTCGCCTGAGTTAGAATACCTCATGATAAGCTGCAGACCATACCATTTACCAAGAGAGTTTATCTATATTTTTCGTAGCTGTCTATTCATCACCACAAACTGAAATCTGGCACTAAGACCCCACTTAATGAGCTGTATAGGGCCATAAGCAAACAAGAAAATGCACATCTAGTAGCGGCCCACCTTGTGGCCGTTTATTTTAATGCAGGGAACTGAAATCAGTCTTACCACATTTTTTACCATCATGTCACCGTGTACAACTACAGACAAAAAAACAAACAACTCTAGATCACCTTTACGCCACACAAAGAAACGCATACAAAGCTCTCCCTCGCCCTGCATTTGGCAAATCTGCCCATAACCATATGGTCAGATTTGCAAATGGAGGGTTGTGGCGGTCATGAAATTGTGTCAGCCGGTTATTGTCATGTAAAAGTTTGCAGGTCTCACGGTAATTGATCGTCAATTAACAAACATATTTAGCATTTCCAGACCTCCATGCATAAGAGCCACATACAAGCCGCTGATAAGAGCCTTTGAAATATCTACATAAAAAAAAAAAAGTATAATAAATTACCTGAATATACACCCGTCACAATAAATCCATTATTTATTTTAGGCAGGTCTATAGAAACTTTATGATATGAAGAAAATGTATTTCAGAAGAACAGAACATGAGTAAGCTTACTGTATGTTATCTGGCTATGCGCCATGCAGAAAAGATATGCGTCTAAGTCCCATGCCATTATTTTATATTTTATGATTTTATAGTAAGAAGAATTAATTGAACTTATGATATTTTTCCCAATCCAGAGAGAGTGTGCATATGAAGTGGCTATGCTGAGCGTAAACATGATCATTTGAAACAGGTCCTATAAACTAGATTGAGTTGTTTAGCAATTTTAGTTGTGAATGATGCAAACCTTAGAATGTCTTAGAAATCAAAACATATAGTGCATTCGGAAAGTATTCAGACATCTTGACTTTTTTCAAATAACATTACATTACAGCCTTATTCTAAAATTGATTAAATTATTCCCCCCCCTCAAATTACACACAACACCCCATAATGACAAAACGAAAACAGGTTTTTAGAAATGTTTGCACATTTATTACAAATAAAAACAGAAATAACTAATTAACATATTTTTTTAAATCAATGCATCAACCAATGTTTGAGGCGCATGCAGCCTCTCGCTGTGCGCTACAGGTGATATTCCACCCAAACTCTGTATGCCATGGGCTCTCCAACCCTGTCTCTGCAGCTGTTCGGAACGTCGATAGTAACGTTTTCACAACAAAACTAATTTAATTAAACTATTGGCAGCCCCTCTCTGTGCGCTCGAGAAAGTAATGAAGGCGAGAGAGGAGGAAATGGAAATGCATGGTGATGAGATTTTCTGTAGCTGAAAGGTAGGCCTTGTGTCTGCCTATTCATTATCAAATTATATATAAATGCCCTATTACTAGGCTATTTAAAATCAAATTCACTATAATTGTAGGCAAACTGTAAGCAGCCATGCACAATCAATGAACCAACAGCATCGCCTAGACCTATACGTTCTCTCCCAGCCTCATGGATAGACATTTTGGAGTATAGCATAAGGTAACCAGTCCATCCAGTATGCATAATAATACAATCCACACTCAAAGGCGATTACTAGAATTTGTTTAATTTTGAAGTATAGGCTTGACCAATTATATACCAAAGACATCTTAAAATTAGTTTAGTTTTCTGTTCTTGTGCCATGTGTAATATGCAGTAATCTATGTATTGTATAACTGTATACATTCAATTGAAGTCAGAAGTTAACATACACTCAAAGGCAGGGGCACAAATTATTTTGCTTGTCCATTCCCAGGGCGCCATCTGTTGGAGAGACGCATCGCTGTGGCGCTCCACCAACGTTCCGTAAAAAAAATGTAGCAGATATCGCCAGGGTAAAACATGAGCCATTCACAATAATTAAAACAAAATGTCAAGAAAACTGTATGCTATTACACCACTTTATCATTACCGCACGTCAGAGGCATGACAAATGAGCGAATGGACTTGAAAACGGATGGTATAGCCTACAGTCCAATGCGATGTGGTTCGACGAGAACAGTGACATGACAATAGCCAAATTTGTCATTTCACTTTTTGGTGTTTACGTGTAACAGATGTCTCTTTCCATTCACCACTGTTTGGAGTCTGGAAATATATATGTGCATGGTTAACCTATGAAGGAGCCCTTTGAAGTGATTGTTTAAGAATCAGATGAAAACATTTTGACTGGTTGTGTTTATGCCACAATAAAAGGTCATGCATTTTAAAAGTTAAATGACAAATCTTTACAACTAGGCCCACAGAGATCCTATTGAATTAATAGGGACTGTATTTGTCACTCTATGACTAGGCCCATAAGAAATGTTGGTGCACGCGCTTGGTCCCGTACCGGGAATAAATTAATTATACTTTCACCCCTGGATATAGCATATGGTAGAAAAAGTATGTGGCCTTTTCTGTAGCCTACAGGCTGGAGATAAAATGTATGACAATGTAATGAGACGGACACGTTTTACATCATGCAGGTTTCTCAGATCAAATAGCCTAACCTAAATGGCACCCAATGAAATAAAAAAATACGCTGACATACCCTAAAAACAAGACAGATCAAAGTAAAATGGACAATATGAAATGGACAAATCAGGCTACTCACAACTGCTGTCCAGAAGTTTCACCCTGTGGGCTAAATTTTCATGATCAGTGGTTTCAAATTTGTATCTGTCAATTTTTGATGAGCTGATCACGGCGAAAAAGAAAATACTTCTGATTTCCCGCTGTGTAAACACATTGCAAATAGGCTCAGGATAACTCCTGATGAAGTTGTGTAGCTGATATTCGGAGCTTAAATAGCCAAATTGATTAGTCACAGGAATCAGGACTAATAAAGCCAATTCAATGGGCTGTTTTACAAACGGTGGGCCTACCACATGGATGGGCATTGATAAAATTCCTTTGCAGACCAACACAGTAGGCTACACCCTAGTAAGCACGGGCAGACGTCTTCTGGAGGTCTTTTTTTGGTTCTGTTCGTACCTGCCGTCTTTTTGGGGTGTTTTACAAACGGTAGGCCTACGACATACAGTTGAAGTCGGAAGTTTACATACACTTAGGTTGGAGTCATTAAAACTCATTTTTCAACCACTCCACAAATGTCTAGTTAACAAACTATAGTTTTGGCAAGTCGGTTAGGACATCTACTTTGTGCATGACACAAGTAATATTTCCAACAAGTGTTTACAGACAAATTATTTAACTTATAATTCACTGTATCAAAATTCCAGTGGGTCAGAAGTTTACATACACTAAGGTGACTGTGCATTTAAACAGCTTGGAAAATTAATGGCTTTAGAAGCTTCTGATAGGCTAATTGACATCATTTGAGTCAATTGGAGGTGTACCTGTGGATGTATTTCAAGGCCTACATTCAAACTAAGTGTCTCTTTGCTTGATATCATGGGAAAATCAAAAGAAATCAGCCAAGACCTCAGAAAACAAAACTGTAGACATCCACAAGTCGTACAACCATGGGAGCAATTTCAAAATGCCTGAAGTTACCACGTTCATCTGTACAAACAATAGTACGCAAGTATAAACACCATGGGACCACGCAGCCGTCATACCGCTTAGGAAGGAGATGCATTCTGGTTCCTAGAGATGAACGTACTTTGGTGCGAAAAGTGCAAATCAATCCCAGAACAGCAGCAAAGGACCTTGTGAAGATGCTGGAGGAAACAGGTACAAAAGTATCGGAGTCGCCTCTTCACTGTTGACGTTGAGACTGGTGTTTTGCGGGTACTATTTAACGAAGCTCCCAGTTCCTTGAATGAGTAGGTGTGTCCAACCTTTTGACTGGTACTGTGTGTGTGTGTGTGTGTGTGTGTGTGTGTGTGTGTGTGTGTGTGTGTGTGTGTGTGTGTGTGTGTGTGTGTATATATATATATATATATACACACACACACAGTGGGGAAAAAAAGTATTTAGTCAGCCACCAATTGTGCAAGTTCTCCCACTTAAAAAGATGAGAGGCCTGTAATTTTCATCATAGGTACACGTCAACTATGACAGACAAATTGAGAAAAAAATATCCAGAAAATCACATTGTAGGATTTTTAATGAATTTATTTGCAAATTATGGTGGAAAATAAGTATTTGGTCACCTACAAACAAGCAAGATTTCTGGCTCTCACAGACATGTAACTTATTCTTTAAGAGGCTTCTCTGTCCTCCACTCGTTACCTGTATTAATGGCACCTGTTTGAACTTGTTATCAGTATAAAAGACACCTGTCCACACCTCAAACAGTCACACTCCAAACTCCACTATGGCCAAGACCAAAGAGCTGTCAAAGGACACCAGAAACAAAATTGTAGACCTGCACCAGGCTGGGAAGACTGAATCTGCAATAGGTAAGCAGCTTGGTTTGAAGAAATCAACTGTGGGAGCAATTATTAGGAAATGGAAGACATACAAGACCACTGATAATCTCCCTCGATCTGGGGCTCCACGCAAGATCTCACCCCGTGGGGTCAAATTATCACAAGAACGGTGAGCAAAAATCCCAGAACCACATGGGGGGACCTAGTGAATGACCTGCAGAGAGCTGGGACCAAAGTAACAAAGCCTACCATCAGTAACACACTACGCCACCAGGGACTCAAATCCTGCAGTGCCAGACGTGTCCCCCTGCTTAAGCCAGTACATGTCCAGGCCCGTCTGAAGTTTGCTAGAGTGCATTTGGATGATCCAGAAGAGGATTGGGAGAATGTCATATGGTCAGATGAAAACAAAATATAACTTTTTGGTAAAAACTCAACTCGTCATGTTTGGAGGACAAAGAATGCTGAGTTGCATCCAAAGAACACCATACCTACTGTGAAGCATGGGGGTGGAAACATCATGCTTTGGGGATGTTTTTCTGCAAAGGGACCAGGATGACTGATCCGTGTAAAGGAAAGAATGAATGGGGCCACGTATCGTGAGATTTTGAGTGAAAACCTCCTTCCATCAGCAAGGTCATTGAAGATGAAACGTGGCTGGGTCTTTCAGCATGACAATGATCCCAAACACACCGCCTGGGAAATGAAGGAGTGGCTTCGTAAGAAGCATTTCAAGGTCCTGGAGTGGCCTAGCCAGTCTCCAGATCTCAACCCCATAGAAAATCTTTGGAGGGAGTTGAAAGTCTGTGTTGCCCAGCGACAGCCCCAAAACATCACTGCTCTAGAGGAGATCTGCATGGAGGAATGGGCCAAAATACCAGCAACAGTGTGTGAAAACCTTGTGAAGACTTACAGAAAACGTTTGACCTGTGTCATTGCCAACAAAGGGTATATAACAAAGTATTGAGAAACTTTTGTTATTGACCAAATACTTATTTTCCACCACAATTTGCAAATAAATTCATTAAAAATCCTACAATGTGATTTTCTGGATTTTTTTTCTCATTGTCTGTCATAGTTGACTTGTACCTATGAAGAAAATTACAGGCCTCTCATCTTTTTAAGTGGGAGAACTTGCACAATTGGTGGCTGACTAAATACTTTTTTCCCCCACTGTATGTGTGTATGTATGTATGTATGTACAATTGAAGTCGGAAGTTTACATACACCTTAGCCAAATACATTTAAACTCAGTTTTTCACTAATCCTGATATTTAATCCTAGTAAACATTCCCTGTCTTAGGTCAGTTAGGATCACCACTTTATTTTAATAATGTGAAATGTCAGAATGATTTATTTCAGCTTTTATTTCTTTCATCACATTCCCAGTGGGTCAGAAGTTTACATACACTCAATTAGTATTTGGTAGCATTGCCTTTAAATTGTTTAACTTGGGTCAAACATTTCAGGTATCCTTCCACAAGCTTCCCACAATAAGTTGGGTGAATTTTGGCCCATTCCTCCTGACAGAGCTGGTGTAACTGAGTCAGGTTTGTAGGCCTCCTTGCTCGCACACGCTTTTTCAGTTCTGCCCACACATTTTCTATAGGATTGAGGTCAGGGCTTTGTGATGGCCACTCCAATACCTTGACTTTGTTGTCATTAAGCCATTTTGCCACAACTTTGGAAGTATGCTTGGAGTCATTGTCCATTTGGAAGACCCATTTGCGACCAAGCTTTAACTTCCTGACTGACATCTTGAGATATTGCTTCAATATATATCCACAATTTTCCTTCCTCATGATGTCATCTATTTTGTGAAGTGCACCAGTCCCTCCTGCAGCAAAGCACCCCCACAGCATGATGCTGCCACCCCCGTGCTTCCCGGTTGGGTTGGTGTTCTTTGGCTTGCAAGCAACCCCCTTTTTCCTATTTTTGTTTCATCAGACCAGAGGACATTTCTCCAAAATGTACGATTGTCTCCATGTGCAGTTGCAAACCGTAGTCTGGCTTTTTTATGGCGATTTTGGAGCAGTGGCTTCTTCCTTGCTGAGCGGCCTTTCAGGTTATGTCGATATAGGCCTCGTTTTACTGTGGATATAGATACTTTTGTACCCGTTCTCTCCAGCATCTTCACAAGGTCCTTTGCTGCTGTTCTGGGATTGATTTGCACTTTTCGCACCAAAGTACGTTAATCTCTAGGAAACAGAACGCATCTCCTTCCTGAGCGGTATGACGGCTGTGTGGTCCCATGGTGTTTATACTTGCGTACTATTGTTTGTACAGATGAACGTGGTAACTTCAGGCATTTGGAGAAAAAACAATTCCTGAGGTCCTGGCTGATTTCTTTGGATTTTCCCATGATGTCAAGCAAAGAGGCACTGAGTTTGAAGGTAGGCCTTGAAATATTCCAATTGACTAAAATGATGTCAATTAGCCTATCAGAAGCTTCTAAAGCCATGACATCATTTTCAGGAATTTTCCAAGCTGTTTAAAGGCACAGTCAACTTAGTGTATGTAAACGTCTGACCCACTGGAATTGTGATACAGTGTAAACAATTGTTGTAAAATTTACTTGTGTCATGCACAAAGTAGATGTCCTAACCGACTTGCCAAAACTATAGTTTGTTAACAAGAAGTGTGTGAAGTGGTTGAAAAACAAGTTTAAATGACTCCAACCTAAGTGTATGTAAACCTTAGACTTCAACTGCATATATTATATATATATTATGAAATAACACATATGGAATCAGGTAGTAACCAAAAAAATCTAAATATATTTTATATTTAAGTTGCTACCCTTTGCCTTGATGACAGCGTTGCACACTCTTGACATTCTCTCAACGAGATTCAGGAGGTAGTCACCTGGAATGCATTTCAATTAACAGGTGTGCCTTCTTAAAAGTTAATTTGTGGAATTTCTTTCCTTCTTAATGTGTTTCAGGCAATCAGTTGTGTTGTGACAAGGTAGGGGGGTTATACAAAAGATAGCCCTATTTGGTAAAAGACCAAGTCCATATTATGGCAAGAACAGCTCAAATAAGCAAAGAGAAACGACAGTCCATCATTCCTTTAAGACATGAAGGTCAGTCAATACAAAACATGTCAAAAACTTTGAAAGTTTCTTCAGGTGCAGTCGCAAAAACCATCAAGCGCTATGATGAAACTGGCTCTCATGAGGACCACCACAGGAATGGAAGACCCAGAGTTACCTCTGCTGCAGAGGATACGTTCATTAGAGTTACCAGCCTAAGAAATTGCAGCCCAAATAAATGCTTCACAGAGTTCAAGTAACAGACATCACAACATCAACTGTTCAGAGGGGACTGTGTGAATCAGGCCTTCATGGTCGAATTGCTGCAAAGAAACCACTACTAAAGGACACCAATAATAAGAAGAGACCAGCTTGGGCCAAGAAACACGAGCAATGGACATTAGACCGGTGAAAATGTGTCCTTTGTTCATGAGTCAAAATTAGAGATTTTTCGTTACAACTGCCGTGTCTTTGTGAGACGCGGTGCGGGTGAATGGATGATCTCCGCATGTTTGTATTTCCCACCCGTAATGCATGGAGGTGGTGTTATGGTGCTTTGCTGGTGACACTGATTTATTTAGAATTCAGGGCACACTTAACCAGCATGGCTACTACACCATTCTACAGCAATATGCCATCCCATCTGGTTTGGGTTTATTGGGACTATCATTTGTTTTTCAACAGGAAAATGACCCAACACACCTCTAGGCTGTGTAAGGGCTATTTTACGAAGGAGAGTGATGGAGTGCTGCATCAGATGACCTGGCCAACAAGTGCTCAGCATATGTGGGAACTCCTTCAAGACTGTTGGAAAAGCATTCCAGGTCAAGCTGGTTGAGAGAATGCCAAGAGTGTGCAAAGGTGTCATCAAGGCAAAGGGTGGCTACTTTGAAGAATCTTAAATATATTTTGATTTATTTAACACTTTCTTGGTTACTACATGATTCCATATGTGTTATTTCATAGTTTTGATGTCTTCACTACTATTCTACAATGTAGAAAATAGTAAAAATAAAGAAAAACCCTGGAATGAGTAGGTGTGTCCAAATTTTTGACGGGTACTATTAGAGGTGATGCACTATATATGCATCACCTCTCATGCCCGTTCCATGATCTCGCCATCATGGTTGACAACTCCGTTGTGTCCTCCTCCCAGAGTGCGAAGAGCCTTGGCGTGACCCTGGACAACACCCTGTCGTTCTCCGCTAACATCAAGGCGGTGACCCGCTCCTGCAGGTTCATGCTCTACAACATTCGGAGAGTACGACCCTGCCTTACACAGGAAGCGGCACAGGTCCTAATCCAGGCACTTGTCATCTCCCGTCTGGATTACTGCAACTCGCTGTTGGCTGGCCTCCCTGCATGTGCCATTAAACCCCTACAACTCATCCAGAATGCCGCAGCCCGTCTGGTGTTCAACCTTCCCAAGTTCTCTCACGTCACCCCCCTCCTCCGCACACTCCACTGGCTTCCAGTTGAAGCTCGCATCCGTTACAAGACCATGGTGCTTGCCTTTGGAGCAGCGAGGGGAACGGCACCTCTGTACCTTCGGGCTCTGATCAGTCCCAACACCCAAACGAGGGCATTGCGTTCATCCACCTCTGGCCTGCTAGCTCCCCTTCCTCTGCGGAAGCATAGTTCCCGCTCAGCCCAGTCAAAACTGTTCGCTGCTCTGGCACCCCAATGGTGGAACAAGCTCCCTCACGACGCCAGGACAGCGGAGTCACTCACCACCTTCCGGAGACATTTGAAACCCCACCTCTTTAAGGAATACCTGGGATAGGATAAAGCAATCCTTCTACCCCCCCACACACACAGCGGAGTCGTTCACCACCTTCCGGAGACATTTGAAACCCCACCTCTTTAAGGAATACCTGGGATAGGATAAAGTAATCCTTCTACCCCCCCCAAAAAAAAATTTGTAAAGTGGTTATCCCACTGGCTATAGGGTGAATGCATCAATTTGTGAGTCGCTCTGGACTGGAGCGTCTGCTAAATGACGTAAATGTGCCCTTGAGCAAGGCACTTAACCCTAATTGCTCCTGTAAGTCGCTCTGGATAAGAGCGTCTGCTAAATGACTAAAATGTAAAAATGTCAAATGATATACAGATGTGTTTTGAATTAATCATCACCTTAGAAAGCGCTGTTCATTTCGTTGTGTTAGGCTTTGAAACAATATCCACAACAACCATGTTTTCCGCCGACTCTGACGCTTGTTGGATGTGGCAGGGCATGCAAACTGTCATGGATTACAAAGGGAAACCTAGCCGCGAGCTGCCCAATGACGCTAGCCTACCAGACGAGCTAAATTCCTATGATCACTTCGAGGCAAGCAACACTGAACCATGCATGACAGCAACTAGCCGATGTTAGTAAGACCTTAAAACAGGTTAACATTCACAAGGCCGCAGGGCCAGACAGATTACCAGGACGCATACTCTGAGCATGTGCTGACCAGCTGGTAAGTGTCTTCACTGAAATGTTCAACCTTTCCATGACCCAGACTGTAATAACCTTCAAGGAGACCACCATAGTCCTTGTGCCCAAGAATGCCAAGGTAACCTCTCTAAATGACTATCGCCCCGTAGCACTCACATCTGTAGCCATGAAATGCTTTGAAATGCTGGTCATGGCTCACATCAACACCATCATCCCAGACACCCTGGACACATTCCAATTCGCATACCACCAACAGATCCACAGATGACACAATCTCTATTGCACTCCACACTGCCCTCTCCCACCTGGACAAGAGGAAAACCTACGTGAGAATGCTTTTCATTGACTACAGCTCAGCAATCAACATCATAGTGCCCTCCAAGCTTATCACTAAGCTCAGGACCCTGGGACTGAAAACCTCTCTGCAACTGGATCCTGGACTTCCTGATGGGCTGCCCTCAGGTGGTGAGGGTAGGCAACAACACATCCTCCACGCGGCCCCTCATGGGTGCATGCTTAGTCCCCTCCTGTACATTCTGTTCACCCACGACTGCATGGCCGCGCACGACTCCAACAACATCATTAAGTTTGCTGACGACACAACGGTGGTTGGCCTGATCACCGACGACAACGAGACAGCCAATAGGGAGGTGGTCAGTGACCTGGCAGTGTGGTGCCAGGACAACAACCTCTCCTTCAACGTCAGCAAGACAAAGGAGCTGATCGTGGACTACAGGAAATGGATGGCCGAGCACGCCCCCATCCACATAGATGGGTCTGTAGCGGAGCGGTTCGAGAGCTTCAAGTTCCTCGGTGACCACATCACTAAGGAATTATCATGGTCCCCACACAACAACACAGTCGTGAAGGCACGACAACACCTCTTCTCTCTCAGGAGGCTGAAAAGATTTGGCCTGCACCCTCAGATCCTGAAAAAGTTATACAGCTGCACCATTGAGAGCATCTTGACTGGCTGCATTACCGCTTGGTACGGCAACTGCTTGGCATCCGACCACAAGACGCTACAGAGGGTAGTACGTACAGCACAGTACATCACTGGAGCCGAGCTCCCTGCAATCCAGGACCTCTATACCAGGCGGTGTCAGAGGAAAGCCCTACCGAAGTCATAAACTATTCTCTCTGCTACCTCACGGCAAGCAGTACCGATTCAGCAAGTCTGGAACCAGCAGGACCCTGAACAGCTTCTACTCCCAAGCCATAAGACTGCTAAATAGTTAACCAATAACTACCCAAAATATCTGTATTTACCCTTTTTTTTTTCAATAACACTTTTTAAAATGTATTTTACCTTTATTTAACTAGGCAAGTCAGTTAAGAACAAATTCTTATTTAAAATGACTGCCTACACCGGCCAAACCCGGACGACGCTGGGCCAATTGTGCGCCTCCCTATGGGACTCCCAATCACGGCCGGTTGTGATACAGCCTGGAATCGAACCAGGGGGTCTGTAGTGACGCCTCAAGCACTGAGATGCAGTGCCTTAGACCGCTCCGCCACTCGGGAGCCCTTTTGACTCAAACACACTACATACGCCCACACACGCGCATGCATACTGACGCCAAACACAGTCACCATATACGCTGCTGCTACAACTGTTTATTATCTATCCTGTTGCTTAGTCACTTTCTCCCTACCTATAGTATATGTACATATCTACCTCGTACCCCTGCAAATCAACTCAGTGCTGGTACCCCGTGTATATAGCCAAGTTATCGTTACTCATTGTGTATTTATTCCTTGTGTTATCTTTCAATAATTTCATAGTTCAATAGTTTTTTTCTCTACATTGTTGGGAAGGGCCCATAAGTAAGCATTTCACTGTTAGTCTACCCCAGGGTTTCTGTTAAATGGCAATTGCCGACTTTTGGCCGATAAAACAAATGAAAAGCTGATAAATAAAACTGTTGTTGGCTAAAATGACCGTGAGAAAAAAAAAGATCCATTGCAAAATAATGCTTTTTATTCATCGATAGAAATACCAGTCGATGGAAATACATTTGACCATCATCGTTATCGGTCTAAAGGTAAATTTGCATAATTGAGTGAAATTAAATTGGCCTGTGTGTTTCATTAGTCATCATGCATCTTATTTATCCACCCCACAACAACACAACTACCACATGCGCACAGCATACAGAGCCAATTTTGAGCAGGATTTATCCTACAGCTCCTCAGGCATGTCTTTCCTCGCTTCAAAGTAGCCTATAGGCAGAATCTGACCATGGAAACATGGAGGCAATTATTTTATGACTTTATAGGTGCCACATGAGTTTCAAGTTTGGGGAAGCTTAGAATTTATTCTACCATTTCTACAGTTCTGCGTGCCAGTTATGATTTTTATATGCACATTTGTGCGGAACAGTTTCATTTCAATAATAACGTTTTAGTTTCTCAAAATCATTGTCATGCGGTTAATCATAAAAATCTGACATAAAATTAAAGTTAAAAGTCAACTAATGCGAGATCACCAGCCTCTGCCATATGGACACATTGATACACCGTGATCCATTGGCGGCTGAAGAAATACGCGCATGGAACTCATTGCCTATAGGCCTATGCAGCAATAGGCCTATAACTTTCATTGCTCTTTCACACCGAGGATTGGTGATTATCGAGGACGAGATTGTTTCTCCAAATAGCTTACTGTGAGGAACTATAGTTTTAATATATTATCATTCACAATGGATGTTAAAAAAACACTTTCTTACATTTCGCAGAGCAGGCCAGGTACTTCTAAGTGTGCTCAGGTGCGCGCGCTCCCTCAACATTCTCAGGACAGAGAAACCAGACACATGCTCATTGCTCACATGGAACACTCCAAACAAAAGACAAATGACAAAAATGGACATATCTCGTAAATGATGGTTATGAAATAAACCAAAACCTGTTTACCACAAGTGTAGCAGGTTGTGAACTCTACAAACAATGTTTCCACTCCGAGAATGAGAATGGTAAATGACTAATGAATAAATGCATTAACAGAAATTAATGTAACCAAACGACGAGGATTAACGGTACTGATTAAAGAAAAAAACAAAAAGGACAAACCATTCACACAATGAAACAATTAATGAGCAACATTTGGCGGGAGAAAGCTGAGCCATTCTGGAGAGACATGCCTATATCTTCGCGACACACCCCTCCCCTTGTTCTTGTCTCAAAATTTAAAATTATACTCAAGACACATTATCTTTACACATATTTTAGATGCTTTTCACTGACAGCCGCAACTCAAATCAGCTAGGCCTATTGCCACACGCACCGCCCAAACTGCGGGGTTCCCAAATACGCATAGGCCTACGAGCTTGTGATTTGAAACAATCCACAGCAAAAACATTTTAAAGAAGCTAATGATCCTCGATTCCTCTGTGGCTAAGTCATGCTTTCTGGTGAAGTATTTATGATTTTATTTATTTCTGTATAATTTTTGCAAATGCATTTCCATTTACTTCCCTATTGGACCCACCGATGTGCCATTTCTCTCATGTTCTATTGGTTTTCATATCAACTTTCTTTTGTTTTCCAGAAGCCAAAGGCACAATCCTAGTCATATTAGCAACCCATCCTAGTTGTTGCATCTTTAGATTTCTAAGTTTCTAACAGATATATTTATCTCTGTCACACATGGGACTGCTATCAGGTGCACTGCTTAGAATGGTGTTTTCCCATGAATTGCATTTTGGCAAATGTTAGAAATTAAGTTTTATTGGCTGCTTCATTACATGAGTTAAGATGCATTACCATAATCTAAATGTGATTTCTGTCATTTTGAGCACCGTGGGTGGACGCCCTAATGTGTTATGCACCCAACATATATGGGTCCGGTAAATTTCTCAAACATCTTCCCGGTCACGTTGTCCAGCGCCATATTCTCCTAATGGAAACTCTGGTCTACACCTGTTGTTTACGAAGTATGTGACAAAATTGGATTTGAAATAAAAAATACATGACAACAGGAAGCAACAACAGTATCATTTGCAACTTATTTTTTAGGAATATAAATGGTATTTTTGAAAAAAAAAAATTTACAGGATTCTACTTTAAAATCAGGTAAAAACTACAGAATGAGCCCCAAAACGTGATATGATTTCTTGATTTTGATGATATTAGTGTAATCGTGAAAATTTGTTTGTCCTAGCTGTCCTTACCCTCTTTGGGCCTTTGCTCAACAGGTGGTGGTTGGGTGGGCAAGTCCTCCTTCTCTTCCCCCTCCAGCCCATCCTCCTGGACCCCACCGTCAGGTCTTCTCTCCCTCTCGCGCTGCGGTGCCTCCCTGGGGGAAGTCACCATTCCTGCTACAATCCTGGAGCCTACTGGGACTTCTTCCTCCTCAGAGTTTGGGTCATGGTAAGACTAGAGGGGGGAAACAAGCAATATGAGAGGGTGGAGGGGAAACAAAGACATTCTAAGTCATGTCATGTTACATTATGAAATATAACTTCACTTATTATTATATTGTCATTAGATTGATGGATAGTGGATGAAAGTAACACCAAGGCTACACAAATCCGCTTTGGTCAGTTCTTTGCTTAACAACCATACCATGAGACATCCTAGACTCCTGAGTGGCGCAGTGGTCTAAGGCACTGCATTGCAGTGCTAACTGTGCCACTAGAGATCCTGGTTCGAATCCAGGCTCTGTCGCAGCCGGCCGCGACCGGGAGACTCATGGGTGGCGCACAATTGGCCCAGCGTCGTCCAGGGTAGGGGAGGGAATGGCCGGCAGGGATGTAGCTCGGTTGATAGAGCATGGCGTTTGCAACGCCAGGGTTGTGGGTTCGATTCCCACGGGGGGCCAGTATAAAAAAAAAATATGTATTCACTAACTGTAAGTCGCTCTGGATAAGAGCGTCTGCTAAATGACTAAAATGTAAATGTACATCAATGTCTTCATCACTTGAAAAGATAAATGGTTGAGATTGATATAAATGTAAAAGCTTATAAACAGGGATGTCAAACTATTATATATATATTTTTTTTTTATACAAATTGTAATTTTTAACCATCAACTCAGATTATTTTCATATTCACAGATGTTGCAATTTACATCTGAGGTTTTCGTGTTGTGCCCGCCATCAGTTGATACACATGCTCTTGAATACAGGGTGGGTGTCATGTTTTGGCTGATAAATGTACTAAAAGATGGTTGGAGGTCCAGACTTCAGAGAATGTTGACGAATGGGAATATCTGTTGTTTTAAATTATACTGTCAATCCTCCATAGGAAACCTACAGTTGAAGTCGGAAGTTTACATACACCTTAACCAAATACATTTAAACTCAGTTTTATACAATTCCTGACATTTAATCCTAGTAAAAATGTCCTATCTTAGATCAGTTAGGATCACCACTTTATGTTAAGAATGTGAAATGTCAGAATAATAGTAGAGATAATTATTTATTTCTTTCATCACATTCCCAGTGGGTCAGAAGTTTACATACACTCAATTAGTATTTGGTACCATTGCCTTTAAATTGTTTAACTTGGGTCAAATGTTTCAGGTAGCCTTCCACAAGCTTCCCACAATAAGTTGGATGAATTTTGGCCCATTCCTCCTGACAGAGCTGGTGTAACTGAGTCAGGTTTGTAGGCCTCCTTGCTCGCACACGCTTTTTCAGTTCTGCCCACAAATTTCTATAGGGTTGACGTTAGGGCTTTGTGGTGGCCACTCCAATACCTTGACTTTGTTGTCCTTAAGCCATTTTGCCACAACTTTGGAAGTATGCTTGGAGTCATTGTCCATTTGGAAGACCCATTTGTGACCAAGCTTTAACTTCCTGACTGATGTCTTGAGATGTTGCTTCAATATATCCACATCATTTTCCTTCCTCATGATGCCATCTATTTTGTGAAGTGCACCAGTCCCTCCCGCAGCAAAGCACCCCCACAGCATGATGCTGCCACCCCCGTGCTTCACGGTTGGGTTGGTGTTCTTCGGCTTGCAAGCAACCCCCTTTTTCCTATTTTTGTTTCATCAGACCAGAGGACATTTCTCCAAAATGTACGATTGTCTCCATGTGCAGTTGCAAACCGTAGTCTGGCTTTTTTATGGCGGTTTTGGAGCAGTGGCTTCTTCCTTGCTGAGCGGCCTTTCAGGTTATGTCAATATAGGACTAGTTTTACTGTGGATATAGATACTTTTGTACCTGTTTCCTCCAGCATCTTCACAAGGTCCTTTGCTGGGATTGATTTGCACTTTTCGCACCAAAGTAAGTTCATCTCTAGGAGACAGAACGCATCTCCTTCCTGAGCGGTATCATACTATTGTTTGTACAGATGAACGTGGTACCTTCAGGCGTTTTCAAATGGCTCCCAAGGATGAACCAGACTTGTGGAGGTCTACAATAATTTTCCTGAGGTCTTGGCTGATTTCTTTTTATTTTCCCCATGATGTCAAGCAAAGAGGCACTGAGTTTTAAGGTAGGCCTTGAAATAAATCCACAGGTACACCTCCAATTGACTCAAATGATGTCAATAAGCCTATCAGAAGCTTCTAAAGCCATGACATAATTTTCTGAAATTTTCCAAGCTGTTTAAAAGGCACAGTCAACTTAGTGTATGTAAACTTCTGACCCACTGGAATTGTGATACAGTGAATTATAAGTTAAATAATCTGTCTGTAAACAATCGTTGGAAAAACTACTTGTGTCATGCACAAAGTAGATATCCTAACCGATTTTCCAAAACTATAGTTTGTTAACAAGAAATTCGTGGAGTGGTTGAAAAACAAGTTAATGACTCCAACCTAAGTGTATGTAAACTTCCGATTTCAACTGTATTTAAATCATAGAAATATAGATAACAGAATAGACATGACAATTTTGACAAAATTGACATTCAACGGTGGGTGGAACGTTGGCCATCTTTGTGGTAGTAATTAGAAGTTATACCTGATACATTGCAATGGTCTGAAGGGATAGGTCCATTCTATTTCTATGATTGAAATGACACCCACCCTGTATTCAAGAGCATGTTGTCTCAACCGATGGCAGGCACAACACAAAAAATGTATATGATGTAAAATAGGGTCTAAGCTACAACATATGCAAATATGTTTTTAGATAGATGTAAAGGTTAAAAAAAAAGACATCGTATTATTTATTTAAAAAATAAAATTATGAAAGTTTGACAATCCTGTTTGTAAGCCTTTAAATGACATCAATCTCAACCGTTTATATTTTCCAATGATGAAGACATGGATGTCTCATGGTAGGGTAGGGTATGCAAAATGGGTCATTCAAGTCCATGTTTTGGCAAAAAAGTCCCTTTCCGACCACTTCTTCCATGGGCAAAACAAGTTGTTTAAAACAAAAAGGCATGCTGTCAAAAAGTGATTGAATTCAAATGGATTTACCCCTTTGACTGGGCTGAGCGGGAGCTGACCTCCCATAGGGGTGGGACCACCAAGAGACAAGAGATGGCTGATTGGGATGTAGGTTTTGCGCATAGCCTGAATGTAGCAGTTCTCATTGCTGCTCTGTAGGCAAGCACCATGGTCTTGTAATGGATGTGAGCGTCGACTGGAAGCCAGTGGAGTGTACGGAAGAGCGACATGAGGGGTGACATGAGAGAACTTAGGAAGGTTGAACACCAGATGGGCTGCGACGTTCTGGATAAGTTACAGGGATTTGATGGAACAAGCGGGAAGCCCAGCCAACAGTGTTGCAGTAGTCCAGACGGGATATGACGAGTGCCTGGAATAGGACATGCGCCGCTTCCTGTGTGAGGAAAGGTCGTATTCTACGGATGTTATAGAGCATGAACCTACAGGAGCGAGTCACTGCTTTGATGTTTGCAGAGAACGACAGGGTGTTGTCCAGGGTCCCATCAAGGTTCTTTGCACTCTGGGAAGGGGACACCGCGATGGAGAGGTCTTGGAGCGGGCAGGCCTTCCCGGGAGGAAGAGCAGCTACGTCTTGTCGAGGTTAAGCTTGAGGTGGTGAGAGAAGAGGAGAGGGCCTAAAACCAGATACTCACCACACCACCTGGTAGGAGCAACCCGCCAGGTAGGATGCAGTCCAAGAGTGTGCAGAGCCTGAGATGCCCAGCCCTGAGAGGGTGGAGAGGAGGATCTGATGGTTCACAGTGTCAAATATAGTGGAGAGATCTAGGAGGATGAGAACAGAAGAGAGAAATTCAGCTTTGGCAGAGCCTCCGTGACACAGAGGAGAGCAGTCCCAGTTGAGTGACCCGTCTTGAAGCCTGACTGGTTAGGGTCAAGAAGATCATTCTGAGAGTGATAACCATAGAGTTGGTCAGAGACAGCACGCTCAAGTGTTTTGGAAAGAAAAGAAAGATGGGATACCGGTCTGAAGTTTTTGATATCGGAGGGGTCAAATGTTGGTTTCTTGAAGAGGGGAGTGACTCTGGCCATCTTGAAGTCAGAGGGAACGCAGCCAGCGGTCAGGGATGAGTTGAGGGAAGTGAGAAGGTCTCCAGAGATAGTCTGGAGAAGGGAAGAGGGGATGGGGTTGAGTGGGCCGGTTCTCGGGCGGCTGGACATCAAGTCGCAGGATTTCATCTGGAGAGAGAGGGGAGAAAGAGGTCAAGGCGTAGGGTAGGGCTGTGTGAGTGGGACCAGTGGCTTCAGTAGGCTGAGTGAATGAGGAGCGGATGTCGTCAACCTTTCATTTTAAATTGACAAAGTCGTCTGCAGAGAGGGAGGAGGTGAAGGATTAAAGAGGGAGTAGAACGTGGAAAAGAGTTTCCCAGGGTCGGAGGCGGTCTAAGGCACTGCATCACAGTGCTAGAGGCATCACTACAGACCTGGGTTCGATCCAAGGCTGTGTCACAACCGGCCGTGACCGGGAGTCCTATCGGGCGGCACACAATTGGCTCATTGCGCTCTAGCGACTCCATGTGGCGGGCCGGGCACCTGCAGGCTGACTTTGGCACCTGCGTCTGGCTTCCGGGTTAAGCAGGCGGGTGTTAAGGAGCACGGTTTGGCGAGTCATGTTTCGGAGGACGCATGACTCGACCTTTGCCTCTCCCGAGCCCGTTGGGGAGTTGCAGCGATGAGACAAGATCATTATTGAAATTGGGAGAAAAAGGGGGTAAAAGCAAAATACAAAAGAAAAAAGAAAGTGGCTTTAGCAGCGGATACAGAAGAGAAGGTAGAGAGGAGGGTGGAAGGATGATAGGGCCTTGGAAGTTTAGTTTTCCTCCATTTTTTGTGAGCACGCAGTGAGTCACTCAGCCAAAGAGCAGGAGGGAAGGGTCGAGCTGGCCGGGACGAAAGGGGACAGTGGGAGTCAAAGGAGGTGGGAAGGGAGGAGAGTAGGGTTGAAGATGCAGAGTCGGGAGGGAGAAGGATTTAGTGGAAGGAAGAGATGATAGGATAGAAGAGAGAGTAGTGGGAGAGAGAGCGAAGATTGCGACTGCATAATAAATCTTTCAAGTCTGTCAATATATGACAGTGCATTCGGAAAGTAATCAGACCCCTTGACCTTTTCCACATTTAGTGACGATACAGCCTTATTCTAAAATTGATTGAATAAAAAAATCCTCATCAATTTACACACAGTAACCCATAATGACAAAGCGAGACTGCTTTGTACCAGTGTACATCGTTGTCAATTTAATAATGTTAACATACTGTTTTACCCCCTTTATATGTATATACTGTATTCTAGCCATATTCTAGTCCTGTATTCTAGCGCATTCATCAAGTATTCAGACCCCTTGACTTTTTCTACATTTTGTTACGTTACAGCCTTATTCTAAAATTGATTGAATAAAAAATGTTCCTCATCAATCTACACACAATACCCCATAATGACAAAGCAAACAGGTTAAACATTTTTGCAAATTTATAAAAAATTCAAAACAGAAATACCTTCCTTACATAAGTATTCAGACCCTTTGCTATGAGACTCGAAATTGAACTCAGGTGCATCCTGTTTCCATAGAAAATTATTTAAAATGTGTCTACAACTTTATTGGAGTCCACAGGTGGTAAATTCAATTGATTGGACATGATTTGGAAAGGCACACACCTGTCTATATAAGGTCCCACAGTTGACAGTGCATGTCAGAGCAAAATCCAAGCCATGAGGTCGAAGGAATTGTCAGTAGAGCTCTGAGAAAGGATTGTGTCGAGGCACAGATCTGGGGAAGGGTACCCAAAAATGTCTGCAGCATTTAAGATCCCCAAGAACACAGTGGCCTCCATCATTCTTAAATAGAAGAAGTTTGGAACCACCAAGACTCTTCCTAGAGCTGATCGCCAGGCCAAACTGAGCAATCGGGGGAGAAGGGCCTTGGTCAGGAAGGTGACCAAGAACCCGATGGTCACTGACAGAGCTCCAGAGTTCCTCTGTAGAGATGGGAGAACCTTCCAGAAGGACAACCATCTCTGCAGCACTCCACCAATCAGACCTTTATGGTAGAGTGGCCAGACGGAAGCCACTCCTCAGTAAAAGGCCCATGACAGCCCGCTTGGAGTTTGCCAAAAGGCACCTAAAGGAATCTCAGACCATGAGAAACAAGATTCTCTGGCCTGATGAAACCAAGATTGAACTCTTTGGCCTGAATGCCAAGCGTCACGTCTGGAGAAAACCTGGCACCATCCCTACAATGAAGCATGGTGGTGGCAGCATCATGCTGTGGGGATGTTTTTCAGCGGCAGGGATTGGGAGACTAGTCAGGGTCGAGGGAAACCTGCTCCAGAGCACTCAGGACCTCAGACTGGGGCAAAGATTCACCCTCAAACAGGACAATGACGCTAAGCACACAGCCAAGACAACGGCAGGAGTGGCTTCGGGACAAGTCTCTGAATGTCCTTGAGTGGCCCAGCCAGAGCCCGGACTTGAACCCAATTGAACATTTCTGGAGAGACCTGAAAATTGCTTTGCAAAAACTTATAAAAACCTTTTTGCTTTGTCATTATGGGGTATTGTGTGTAGAAAAGCAAAAAACAATTTAATCAATTTTAGAATAAGGCTGTAACATAACAAAATGTGGATAAAGGGGTCTGAATACTTTCCGAATGCACAGTATATATTGCTTGTTACGTCAAGTAATAGAAAAGGGCACAGTAGGTACCTATTTGAACCTAGGGCTAGTGAAATGTGTTTATAGCTACCTTCAATTCAGGAGCATGATCATGATTCCCCTGTAGCTCTTCATCTGCAGAAAGTCAACATCAAAGGAAAACATCATTGATTAGGCGTTGTGCATCTGCTGACAATCCAAACAACACTTTTCTTCCAAAAAACACCACTTCGTAGAAAAAAACACTTTCCTACAGACAGACAGTATTGATAGTTAGCTAATGTTAGCTAGCTAGTGCCTCACAAAAATTTCAACAAGCTTGCTTGCTAATGCTAGCCAGCACTAGCGTTACACAATCTGTCAAATAGTATCAACGTTGACAGATGACATCTACCCGGCTGACATTTTTAAGACTTACCAGCTGCTGTTCCGTGTGAGAAAACTATAAGGAGAATGACCAAGGACAAAACCATCCTCGAAGTCTTGAATGACCCTTTAAAATCCATTTAGATTACAAACTAACGACTGCTAGCTAGCTACTGTAGTTAACGAAGTTAGCTCTGTGGCTAATGTTAATCATCCACTTCAAGGATTATTCTTCTCTTGCATACACTGCTAACTAACGTTCATGAGGACAAAGCCGACAGGGAGGTGTTTAAAAATAATAATAATAGCTAGCTCATTCTTTTTTACTGCTGACATGCAAGATATTTAGCTGGCTAGCTAGCATGTTAGCTAAACAAAAGACCTAGCTTCGATATGCTTTGAGATAAATATTTCGTTAGCTAGGTAACTGTACGCTTTCCTAGTCTTTGAAACCTGCTGATAAACAGCAACGATGTGCTGTTATATAGTTCGCAGAGTTTTATCATACAACACAGCTAGCTAAACTGCCGCTTGAACGCCACTTCCTAATCCCTCCGATAGACCAATCCTAGTACGCGTTGACTGAAATTGACCAATATAAAAGACATCATCCAATCCGGTGTGCACACACAATTACGTTTCTTGCATGTACAAAATGTTTTAGCCTTTGGTTGTACACAACACGAAAGACGAAACGCCTTCTGACATAATTCGGGATCTTCTCTCGTGTGTAAATTTGTGTGGCAATAAAATGTATTTGGCACGCCAAAAAAAAGAAAAGTAATCAGTACTAGTCTTAACATAATTACATTTAAGTCATTTAGCAGACGCTCTTATCCAGAGCGACTAACAGGAGCAATTAGGTATAAGTGCGTTGCTCAAGGGCACATCGACAGATTTTACACGTAGTCGGCTCGTGGATTCAAACCAGTGACCTTTCCATTACTAGCCCAATGCTCTTCACCGCTAGGCTACCTGCATAATGAATGGGTATAGTAGGCTATATTATCCCCTTGGGATAATATATTGAAATCTATCTATCCATCGATATTTGATCTTGTATGAGCGTATCCAAAGAACGGTCTTCTGGATGTGTTAGTTTAACTCCTACATTAATTATTGATGCAAAACCTTTCGTAGATAAATGTACATGTACCTCTTGCTGTCCATATTTAATGTAAATACAATTTGTTTGGATGTCTTTATTTACATTTACGTCATTTAGCAGACGCTTACAGTTAGTGAGTGCATACATGTTCATACTGTCAAATCACTAAGAATATCAAGCGTGAGCAACCTTTTTTCCAGAGAAACATCGGGTAGCCACTAACCAGTAGTCTTGCACAATCAGTCGTCATTAAACCCACAAGACATAACTCAGTAAAAATTGCATTTATTTCAGCAAGACACACTTCAAATGTGCAGAATTGGATATTGAGAATGCTAATCGTTAATTCCAAATACTGTCTGGATGTAAATATACTGTAGTTCGAGTGATTGTTTCTACATCTCCTTTGCGTAGACACAGTGAGGTAAGCAGATATTAAAGGAAGCCTTGAACCACTGACCCTTACACAAGACAGCCAGTCTTCCAAGTGGAAAAGGCACCGTTTTTCTACACACACAGTAGGGCTGGTGCTACAAGAGACAGTGCCAAAGAGAGTATTCATTCACATTAAATAATCAGGTTCTCTTTTAATTTTTGTACATCATTTAGAAGAGTCAATCTCAGTAGAGTCGGGCCCCGAATCCAAAAGTCTGTTTGATGGCTTCAAAGTAGTATCTCTTCCAACCCTCCTTCGTCCTATCCTCCTCTCCTGTCGGGACATCTTTACATTCCAGCTTCAGCTCCGTCTCATTGCCCCGATCCTTCATGTTTAGAGTGATAGTCGCATAGTGCTCTGGAAGAGGGAAAAGGGGAACGTTTTAGCATAATTTGTTGCGAAAACAATATTATATCCAATACTTTATGTTACTATCCAGGGTTTCTCAAGTCCAGTCATGGGGTCCCAACAGGGTATGCAAGCTTTTGTTCCTGCCCAGTTTCAACACACAGGATCCAACTAATCATCACGCCCGTGATTAGTTTAATCAGGTATGTTCAAATCAAAGTTTATTGGTTGTGTACACAGATTTGCAGGTGCTATAGCAGATGCAACGAACTGGTTATGTTACTAGCTCAAACAGTGCAGTAGAATCAAATATGTTTATAACTAAACCAAGACACACCACAGCTTGTCGTTTCCAATTGGAAGAAATTAGTCAGTGGGCAGAACAAGCAAAGAGGTGGGCAGAGCCAAGCAAGCGCTAGCGATATTCTATTGGCGAGTTCTAGTACACATCTGCATATTTCTGTTAGGGAATGCCTATTCTGAAGTGCACGTGTGCAATAACTCAATTTGTCTTTCTACCCCTTCTAAACAGCTCAATATTTTTTATTTGTTTGCAAAGGGTAAAGTCTACAAAACGTAGTCCACTCTGTTCATAACAGATTCTAGTTTTGGGAACAGAAAACTGTACTGAGATCAAATGTTTAATTGATGAGAATATTTGCAGAATGTGGCCAAAATCCATCTCGTTCCATCTTTTCCCACTGCCTCAAGGTGGGCTTCCTCGCACTACCATATTTGGTAGTGAGTGGAAATGCCAACCGAATGCTTCACATTTATACATCCAGTGAAATATCTCAGTGTTCTGTGGTAGAATGTCTAGCAAATACAAAACAAATAATCTAAAAATCTAAACAAGAAATCAAGCAGTCAGAACGAGTCCAATTTACAATCCAAAGTAGATATATCACGTCATCTTGGTAAGCAACTCAAGTGTATATTTGGCCTTGTGTTTTAGGTTATTGTCCTGCTGAAAGGTGAATTTGGGTCCCAGTCTGTTGGAAAGCAGACTGAACCAGGTTTTCGGCGGTGCTTAGCTTTATTCCGTTTCTTTTTATCCCCCCCCCCCAAAAAAAGTATTTGCTGATGACAAGCATACCCATAACATGATGGAGCCACCACCATGCTTGAAAATACAAAGTGGTACTCAGTGATGTGATATGTTGGATTTGCCCCAAACATAACACTTTGTATTCAGGACATAAAGTTAATTACCTTATGTGTGCCTTATTGCAAAATGTTTTATTCTGTACAGGATTCTTTTTTAAGTGATCTTTGACCAACAGATGCATATCTGTATTCCCAGTCATGTGAAATCCATAGATTAAGGCCTCATTAATTTATTTAAATTGACTGAATTCCTTCTGTGAACTTTAACTCAGTAAAATCTTTGAAATTGTTGCATGTTGCGTTTATATCTTAGTTCAGTGTAAAAATAAATGTTGGTCTGATGTGTATAAGGAGGAGAAACAAGATGCAGAATTTGGAATATTTGTAAAATTATTCTTCCCAATTGTTGACAAGCATATACCTGTTAAGAAACTGTGAGAAGTTTTAGAGCACCCTGGATTGATGATGAATTTAAAAATGGTATGGTTCAAAGAAATTGTGGGGGAAAACGGTGGATAACAAGTCAGGCTGCTCAGCTGACATAGTGTAAATTGAGAAATGTGACTAAACTTAAAAATATACACTACCGTTCGAAAGTTTGGGGTCACTTAGAAATGTCCTTGTTTTTTAAAGAAAATATTTTTTTTGTCCATTAAAATGACATCAAATTGATCAGAAATACAGTGTAGACATTGTTAATGTTGTAAATGGCTATTGTAGCTGGAAACTGCAGATTTGTAATGGAATATCTACATAGGCGTACAGAGGCTCATTATCAGCAACCATCAGTCCTGTGTTCCAATGGCACGTTGTGTTTGCTAATCCAAGTTTATAATTTTAAAAAGGCTAATTGATCATTAGGAAACCCTTCTGCAATTATGTTAGCACAGCTGAAAACTGTTGTGCTGATTAAAGAAGCAAAAAAACTGGCCTTCTTGAGACTAGTTGAGTATCTGGAGCATCAGCAATTGTGGGTTCGATTACGGAATCAAAATGGCCAGAAACAAATAACTTTCTTCTGAAACTCAGTCTATTCTTGTTCTGAGAAATGAAGGCTATTCCATGCGAGAAATTGCCAAGAAACTGAAGATCTCGTACAACGCTGTGTACTACTCCCGTCACAGAACAGCGCAAACTGGCTCTAACCAGAATAGAAAGAGGAGTGGGAGGCCCCGGTGCACAACTGAGCAAGAGGACAAATACATTAGTGTCTAGTTTGAGAAACATGCGCCTCACAGGTCCTCAACTGGCAGCTTCATTAAATAGTACCCGCAAAACACCAGTCTCAACGTCAACAATGAAGAGGCGACTCCGGGATGCTGACCTAGGCAGAGTATTTTCGGCTCTATTTACTCTTAGATTCGAAAATGCTAATTAGCATCAAAGTAGACATCACACAAGACTACAAATCCCTGCAAGATCCTGCACATCATCTCAAGCTGGCATCTTTGCTAATAGGTATTGTGTCAATTTAAAACTTGCACAAGACAGTTCACAGACTTGTCAATTTAAAGACATTTAGCAAATTTATTTATTACCAAATGTAGCTAACAGATAGTTAATCCAGAGATTCAGAGCCGTCTCGGAAGGGAGAACAACAACAATCAAGCGTCCTCTCTCCACATGTAACACAGGAGATGTGTTGGTGGAATTTCGGGAGAATTCTCCTCAGATTTCCTTTGATAAAGTCCTCAACTACAACAAATGCGGCCTCAGGAAATGCGGTTTCCAGTTTGCTCAATGTCACGTATAGTTCTAGGATGAAACAAAAGCCTGCATACTCTGTCTATCCCCAGGAGCTAGTTGAGAAAGCAGTTAGTGTTGTAGAGATGACCTGTATAGACATGCTGAAATGAAATGGTCATTGAAAGTTGCTGAGGTTAAAAGCAGAACACGCAAATCAATAGAGCACCACTGGGCAAGGTGGGGAAACCTACCACATGGCCATGTCTTGAACCTCCACTTCATAACAATCTTCTCATCTGGGACCTAAGAAGTATAAACAAAGACTACAGTTAGTTTTGGACATTCTTCCACAATGGGTTATGATTGACAGATAACAAGTATGATCTCAAGCAGACACGTGTCCTCACCAGCTCTGTAAACTCTCCGTTGACACTTCCCTCTAGCAGCTGAAACTTCCCTCCTTTTTCTCCGTCAACCACAGCTGCAGCATGGGTGAACGCCTGGACCATCTGCATTACCAGAGAGGAGACCAGAGTAGAGTCAAATCAGCAATGATTCCTACAAGCCCTCAGCCAATTGTAGTCATGATTCAAAAAGCGTTATGGGCCACCAATTGAAAAGTAGGTGGACATTATCTTATAATAGGCAACATTTCTGAACCGGAAGTAATCTACACAGAGTTAATGTCTAGTCTAGTTCATTGAGGTTGCTCCTCGTTCCCTATTGAAAGCAACAGTAAAATCCAACATGGGATATAAGAGTGAATCAAAAACATTTGCACTGGTGAAAATGATCTCAAAACCTTGGTAAAACGCTTTATTTTGAAGGCAAACTAGCACATGCACTCAATTATATTCTTACTCTCTCTAACTACACTATTAGGGCAACTGGGCATGTTAATGACATGGGTGAAGCAGTAAGGAGGGTTTCCCAAACTTGGTGCACGTTTTGGTTTTTGCCCTAGCACTACACAGCTGATTCAAATAATCAACTAATCATCAAGCTTTGATCATTTGAATCAGCTGTGAAGTGTTAGGGCAAAAACCAAAACATGCACCCCTTGGGGTCCCAAGGACCAAGTTTGGGAAACACTGCAGTAAAGCATCTCTGCATCTCCCCATTGCCAAACTATGGTTGTTTCAATACTCTAAAATGGCATCCTTTCCTACTTCCTCAGTGACTGGGGAAAGAACTGGGGTGTATTCATTACGTCTGGCAAGGGAAACCGTTTAAGAACCAAAACTGAAGCAAACAGAGCAAATGGAACGAAACGGAGAAACTCTCGTTTTCGTTACAAATGTTTTTGTTTGGAGTAAACGGTTTCTGTTGCAAAACATTTTGCAAAATAGAATCAACGTAATGAATATACGCCTGGAGTATATTTTGGTCATGTAGTGTATTACTTCCAACTGTCATGTCTGACCCGATCAGTGATGTTCGAGGAAAGGACACAAGGAAAGGACTACTTGACCACTCACGTTCTGGTTGATGAAAGTTCTGTACAGCTCGTTAGGTGAGGTGAGGAAGGTCTCCTTGAGACTAAACTTGCAGGTTGAAATCTTGACCCCTGTGCTGGATGGTGGAGCGGAAGCAGAGGGACCAATCTGGGGACATACAACAGACAACCATGATCATTAAGTCCCAGTATTTGTAACTTAGGTGAAGCTCAAGTAATGCTCGATAAGCTTGAATACTTGATATCCAAAACTTGGAAGTTAAGTAAATTAATTATGGAATGGATTCATGTGGTGCTTTACATTGTATGAAGGGCGGGTGGGGATGCTCCATGAACTTAAACTTCACAGTTATTTCTGCAGATAAAAAAAAGTATTCTCTAATTTCTTAATTTGTTTTGCTAATTGGACTATTTTTGAACACAACATGTATGGATCATTCCTTACACTGTTATTGCTAGTAAGGTTTTAACCATTACCCCCTTGATACATTGGTTCTTTGGTTGCGTCCCAATTCTTCATTTGTTTGTATTGGATTGACGTAAACATTAGCTGGAAGTTCCCACCATTGTTAAATCCATGACGGAAGAGAAAAGGTAGAGAATCAGGGCATAAGGTAAGAAGGCAACTACCACCCACCTGGGTTTTGTCAACTTTGACCTTTGTCTGTGTCTGCGATGGCTGTGGCTTGCTCGCCGCCCCATTCACCGTGGGCAGGATCATGCCCTGAGTGAACTCTGCAATCATCGTAAAAGTTCAATTTCAAATCAGTATCAAGCTGAACTAGCGCCTATAGAAATATCGCTATGAACAGGCAATAGGGTTAAATAGATTTGAATAAAGGCCTCACCTGATTTCAGGTGGCCAACGTAGCTCCCCAGGGCAGCTCGCACTTTCTTCGCTCCCTCCTTCCTCATGAGTTCGGTGAGAGGTGTATTGGGTTCATCCTTGCAAAGAGACACACTGATCTGTGCCCAGAAAAAAAAGAGAGCAAAGATTATACAGATTGTTGTTAGTTGTTCTACCCATATAAAAGTAATGCAAATAAATTAACTTAACTCCCTTTGGGCCCCCGGGACCAGGGTCAGGGGGCACTGATATAGACTAGATGTTGTTGGTGCTACTTTTGGAGAATGGTGTTGTTGGTGCTACAGTTGGAAGCCCGCATTACACCCAGCATTCTTAGTGTCAGCAGTGATGTTGCCATTGCCAATTACTGTCATTACAATTTCTTGTATGTTTAGTTTTTGTTTCCATCATTGTTTATTTTTATTGTCTATTTTAATTTTATTTACTTCTTTGTGATGTCCTTGTATGAAGCCTTGGTGGGGTGGGTGGGAGGGATGGATGGATGGATGGATGGGATAAGGGACTAGGGATGTTGTACTGTTTTCAATGTCTCTCTTTTCTCATATCTGAAAATCTATAAATAAAGTTGGAAAGAAATAAACGTAACTATTTTTAAGAGTAAATAACATTACAACCAACAGCTGTCGATTAGCCTGAAAGAACATGATCCTGAATGGCATTCTGTCATAACCTACATCTAGGTCGTCCATGTCATTTTCATCGGAGAGGTTGGGAACTTCAATGTTCCCTTTGTACTTGATTCCGGTTTTTGATGTTCCTGAGGGAGAGAGATAGAAAGAGCAGGTGATGTCACGAAGCCTACTTTGAAGAGAGATACTATGACAACCCACCCACTTCTCACTGAACCACAGGGTCTTTGTATACTGGAGAATATAGCTACAATCTCATCACCATGGAAACGAGTGCTACGCTGCTCTTAGTTTGGCTCAAAACCCTCTGTGTTTCAATCAAAATGTATGATACATTCAGCAGAAAACACCTTACTATATGTTCAACATGAGTTCCATACGGAATGGTGTGTGTGTGTCTGCTGCACTCACCGGTCCACGTCGCCTTGACGTTCCACTCATAGAAGTAGATGAGCTTCCCCTTGCGGTTGTTGATGGACGCCTCGCCGTCCAGCTTCGGGACGTCGGTGACCTCGCAGCGCCCCTCAGGGCCCTCCACGCACAGCCCCAACAGGAGCTCCTTCAGCTTGTCTGTCGACCAGCCTGTCACATCACGCTCCGTCCTGTAGGGACACACAATGCATTCATATATTCAACTAGGTTGTGTTCATTGTGGCACACACCATAACAGAAACAAGCATTTGTTATTGGAGGATTTCCCTGTTTCAGACCTTTCTTATATTTAGTGCCTTATGTAAGGAACTAGTAAAACTGAGATAATATGGTAATTTAGCTGTCAACATTGGCACAGTGACATGTTCAGTATCTGGCCCGTGAGGGTATCAAACTCACAACCCAGGTGTTGCTGGCACCATGCCAGCACAGCTCCATTGTAGCAGTGTGTGCATTGCCCTAGATGGACTCAAAAGAAGGTAAGCTGTTATAATAACATATTCTTAGGCAAGTGAATCTTTCCTTCAGAAATATAGTTAGTTCAATTGGGTTTATATTATAATAATAATAAACATTGCCTTCAGAAAGAATTCACACCCCTTGACCTTTTCCACATTTTGTTGGGCTACAGCCTGAAATTAAAATGGATTAAATTGAAATGCTTTGTCACTGGCCTATACACAATACCCCATAATGCCAAAGTAGAATTATTTATTCCTACATTTTTACTAATTAATAAAAAATGAAGAGCTGAAATGTCTTAACTCAATAAGTATTCAATTATTTTTATGGCAAGCCTAAATAAGTTCAGGAGTAAAAATGTGCTTAACAAGTCACATACTAAAGTGCATGGACTCACTCTGTATGCAATAGAGTTAAACATTACTTTTGAATGACTACCTCATCTCTGTACCACACACATACAGATAATTGTAAGGTCCCGCAGTCGAGCAGTACATTTCAAACACAGATTCAACGACAAAGACCAGGGAGGTTCTCCAATGCCTCGCAAAGAAAAGGGGACCTACTGGTAGATAAAAAAAATACAATGTTTAACAGACATTGAATATCCCTTTGAGCATGGTGAAGTTATTAATTACACTTTGGATGGTGTATCAATACACAGAGTCACTACAAAGATACAGGCGTCCTTCCTAACTCAGCTACCGGAGAGGAAGGAAACCGCTCAGGGATTTCACCATGAGGCCAATGGTGATTTTAAAACAGTTAAAGTTTATGGCTGTGATAGGAGAAAACTGAGGAAGGATCAACATTGTAGTTACTCCACAATACTAACCTAATTGACAGAGTGAAAAGGAAGCCTGTACACAATAAAAAATATTAATTTCAAAACATGCATCCTGTTTGCAACAAGGCACTAAAGTAATACTACAAGAAATGTGGCAAAGCAATTAACTTTTTGACCTGAATACAAAGTGTTATGTTTGGGGCAAATCCAATACAACACATTACGGAGTACCACTTTCCATATTTTCAAGCATAGTGGTGGCTGCATCATGTTATGTGTATGCTTGTAATCGTTAAGCACTAGAGAGTTTCCAGGAGAAGAAAAAGCACAGGCAAAATGTGGAAAACCTGCTTCAGTCTTTTCTACCAGACACTGGGAGATGAATTCACCTTTCAGCAGGACAATAACCTAAAACACAAGGCCAAATCTATACTGGAGTTGCTTACCAAGAAGACAGTGAATGTTCCTGAGAGGCCAAGTTACAGTTTTGACTTAAATCTACTTGAAAATCTCTGCCAAGACTTGAAAATGGCTGGCTAGCAATGATCAACAACCAATTTGACAGAGCTTGAAGAATAAAATAAAAAATAAAGGGGCAAATGTTGCACAATCCAGGTGTGGAAAGCTCTTCGAGACTTACCCAGAAAGACTCTCCGCTTTAATCGCTGCAAAAGGTGCTTCTACAAAGTATTGCAATTTGTAAGTCGCTCTGGATAAGAGCATCTGCTAAATGACGTAAATGTATTGACTAAGGGGTGTGAATACTTATGTCAATTAGCTATTTCTGTTTTTCAATAAATCTGCAAACATTTCTAAAACCATGTTTTCACTTAGACATTATGGGGTATTGTGTGTAGATGAGTGGAAAACACATTTTGAATTCAGGCTGTAACACAACAAAATGTGGAATAAATCAAGGGGTATGAATACTTTGAAGGCACTGTATTTCAGACCAGTGTATTACAGTTAATTTAGTCTTTGATTTAATAAGTAAAATATCTTTGAGTAGTAAACAGGGAAACAACGAGCCCCAGTTCGCAATAGAACATACCATCGTTTACTACCTAAATTATTGGGATCATCTCGTTACCACCAGTGTTCTGAATACATTGAGCTCGTTCACAAAACAGACCACAGGACACTTTTTCACACATTTATTTGTCAAAGGTCCACGGTGGGTCTGTGTAAGCTAATGCGATTATATTGGAGACAGGTTTAGAGCAGTGAATGTCATTCATTTACTGCTATAGTATTTCTCAGAGAAGTAACGTATGTAAGCCTACAGTACCACAGCGAGGTCAAAAAGGTTGTGTGTGTGTTGGAGAGACTGATTATTCTCTACCCCCAGTGCATGTGGTGTACTATGGTCTGGGCCACAGTGGAGAGGGTGAAAAGCTTCCAAGTTCCTCAGCGTGTACATGACTGACGACCTGAAATGGTCCCCTCACACAGAGTGGTGTAGGAGGCTGAATAAATGTGGCTTTGCCTCTAAGACACTCACAAACTTCTACAGATGCACCATTGAGAGCATCCTGTCGGGATGCATCACCGACTGGTACAGCAATTGCACAGTCTGCAATTGCACAGTCTGCACAACTGCAGGGGTCTCCAGAGGGTGGTGCGGCCAGCCCAATGCATCATCGGGGGCACACTGCCTGCCCTCCAGGACATCTACAGCACCCGGAGTAACAGGTAGGCCAAGAAGATCATCAAGGACCTCATCCACCCGAACCACGGCCTTCTCACCCCGCTATCATCTAGAAGGAGGAGACAGTACGAGTGCATCAAAGCTGGGACCAAGAGACTGATAAACAGCTTCCATCTCCAGGCCATCAGACTGTTAAAAAGTCACCACTAGCCGACCTCCGCCTTAGTCACTGTTACTAGCCGATTACCACCCTGTACCTTAGAGACTGCTTTGCCCAGTGTACATAGTTGTCACTTTAATAATGTTAACATAACATTTACCTCCTTTATATGTATATACTGAATTCTAGACATTCTGTATTCTAGTGCATTCAGAAAGCATTGAGACCCCTTAACTTTTTAAGTTAAGATTTAAAAATCTCAATCTACACAAAATACCCCCATAATGACAAAGCGAACAGGTCAAGATTTTTGTAGATTTATAAAAAATTCAAAACAGATTTATCTTATTTACATTAGTATTCAGACCCTTTGCTATGAGACTCGAAATTGAGCTCAGGTGCATCCTGTCTCCATTGATCATCCTTGATGTTTCTACAACTTGATTGGAGTCCACCTGGGGAAATTCAATTGATTGGACATGATTTGGAAAGGCACACACATCTATATAAAAGGTCCCACAGTTGACAGTGCATGTCAGAGCAAAAACCAAGCCATGACATCGAAGGAATTGTCCATAGAGCTCCGTGACAGGATTGTGTCAATACACAGATCTGGGGAAGGGTACCAAAACATTTATGCAGCACTGAAGGTCCCCAAGAACAATGTGGCCTCCATCATTCTTAAATGGAAGAAGTTTGGAACCACCAAGACTTCCTAGAGCTGGCCGCCCGGCCAAACTGAGCAATCGGGGGAGAAGGGCCTTGGTCAGGGGAGGTTACCAAGAACCCAATGGTCACTCTGACAGAGCTCCAGAGTTCCTCTGTGGAGATGGGAGAACCTTCCAGAAAGACAACCATCTATGCATCACTTCACCAATCAGGCCTTTACAGTAGAGTGGCCAGACGGAAGCCACTCCTCAGTAAAAGGAACATGACAGCCCGCTTTGAGTTTGCCAAAAGGCACCTAAAGGCCTCTCAGACCATGAGAAACAAGATTCTTTGGTCTGATGAAACCAAGATTGAACTCTTTGGCCTGAATGCCAAGCGTCACAACTGGAGGAAACCTGGCACCATCCCTACGGTGAAGCATGGTGGTGGCAGCATCATGCTGTGGGGATGTTTTTCAGCGGCAGGGACTGGGAGACTAGTCAGGATCGAAGGAAAGATGAACGGAGCAAAGTAAAGAGAGATCCTTGATGATAACCTGCTCCAGAGCGCTCAGGACCTGACTGGGGCGAAGGTTCACCTTCCAACAGGACAACGACCCTAAGCACACAGCCAAGAAAACGCAGGAGTGGCTTCGGGACAAGTCTCTGAATGTCTTTGGAGTGGCCCAGCCAGAGCCCGGACTTGAACCCGATTTAACATCTCTGGAGAGACCTGAAAATAGCTGTGCAGCAACACTCCCCATCCAACCTGACAGAGCTTGAGAGGATCTGCAGAAAAGAATGGGAGAAACTCCCCAAATACAGGTGTTCCAAGCTTGTAGCATCATACCGAAGACTCGAGGCTGTAATCGCTGCCAAAGGTGTTTAACAAAGTACTGAGTAAAGGGTCTGAATAGTTATGTAAATGTGATATTTCAGTGTTTTTTTTTATAAATACATTTGCAAAAATGTCTAAAAACCTGTTTTTGCTTAGTCATTATGGGGTATTGTGTGTAAATTGATGAGGGAAAAAAACAAATTAATCCATTTTAGAATAAGGCTGTAACGTAACAAAATGTAGAACTTTCCAAATGCACTAATAAATAAAATAATATATGTGCCCACCTCAGTGAACTAATCCATTGGGAGGCCTAGACTAAAAGCCAATATATGCTTGATTCGAAAATGTGGTCGGAGGCTCCATATGGAGGGTGTGACGCAATTCCAGAGGCATGCAGAAGCAAAACCAAGCTCTGTACCACATCGCCATGCGCCTCCCAAATTTTGTAACAATGAGGGGGGCACTGTATAGACATGATTGGTTGACGGTAGGTGGGGGCGTTACATCCTGTATAAACAAACTCACTTCCTTGACAACAGCTCTGCACTGCTCCGCGAAGCCCAAGAAGTATGAATGCCCTGACTTCTGCTGAGGCCATACCACCGTAAATGTTGCATGGCCAAT